AAGCCCCCAAGCGGGCGATGTTTTCCATGAGCTTTTCCGACTACCCAAGCTCGAGCTCGCTCATCTCGCCTCCAGCACCGACACCGCAATAATGACCTCAGATTCTTGAGGCAGGAAAGTGAAATCTGCCACATCCAACAAACATACTCAGAAGGCACCTGAGGGGTGACATTTGGAAGATCAAACAATGTCCTCTTGAAGTTCTTGAAGAGACCGGGTCCCTGTCGGGTGCCATGTTCGTGGAAGGGAGGGTGTCCCTAATTGTTTTTTTGAAAATAGAGACCCCCGATGTCCTCTCTACATGAACAGCTACCAGACCTCCACCCATGGTCATGAGACCTGCCGTGGAGTGTGGGTGGGGTTGATTACGGGCTGGTGAGGGTTGGTTGAGGGTTGGCTGAGCGTTGCTTGAGAGATGGTTGAGGGTTGGCTAGTTTAGAGTGAGCTTAGGCGCTTGGAGTTAGCTGAAGGCTGGACTCGGGCTTCCTCCGTGGATGCCCCGGGATGCTGGGCTGAGGGAGGGGGGGGGACTTTCATTGGGGGCTAGCGAACCTGGGACATCGAACATCCTTGGGCTGAACAAATCTGACCCCTTGAAGCCAAGGGAAGCCCTCTGATTTGAGAAACCAAATGTCACCCCCCACACCTCCATCAAACCCGGCGCAACACATGGCCGAAAACCAGGTTGCCCGAAATGCCACGGCATTTCGGGGTCCGAAACTGGAGCATGCGCAACAGGCGTCCTCTAAACTCAGCCCTGAGAACTTCCCCAAAGATGTGGTTCTCTCACTCAGCATCCCAGATCCGAGCTGCAAAATCAAAGATGTTCCACGCGGAATCCGGGCCACACCAGTAACCTCGGCGCAAAAGTAGGAATGATATGTGCACATGGACCTCTGCTCACATTGTTCTGAAGTTCAGGCCACCAACTACAATTGTGTAGGGAATGGTTGGAAAGCAGAAGGCACACATCGCCAGTCGGCGATCAAAACAAGCAAGCCGTATGGAAAGAGTGGCAGGAAACTTGCGTCGATGCGTCTTTGAGCCCAACTTAAAAGCTTCAACCTTCTGAATGATTATTTTCGTCTTCCTATTAGTCTTCTTATTCTTCTGTTCCTTCTGTGTACTATTATTATTATTGTTCTTTTTACTCTTCCTTTTTCCCTTCCTCTTCCTCTTCCTCTTCCTCTTCCTCTTCCTCTTCTTCTTCTCATCGCCAAGTTCTAGGGATTCCTTGCGAGTCGCCATGGCATCCGTAGGCGAAGAACTTCAGCAACCTGGGCTGGTCTCCGACCCCCTGCTTTTGACACGCTGCAGGTTGGTGGTGAAAAGAGCAGGTTCGAGATCAAAAGGTTGAAAGCCGAAGCTTAGAAGGTTAGAAGGCAAAAAGATGGCAACCGTCAAAGCTCAAAAAGAGGTCAAACGAAGTTTTGAAGTTGAAAAATGAAAACAGTCTAAAATCAGGCTAACATCAGGGTAAATCTGGGTAAATCTGGGTAAATCAGGGTAAAACAGGGCAAAACAGGGTAAAACAGGGAAAAACACTGCAAAACACGGCAAAACAGGGTAAAAGGGTAAAGGTAGAAGGGACAACAGGGGCAAAAACGGGTCAAAAGCTACGGTCGTCACAAAACTCAGAGACCACGCAACGTCTCCAGCACGAAGATCCCCACGATGGCGCCGTTCAGCGGGCCACACCATCGGGGCGCGTCGTTGACCCCCACGGCCGAGGTCAAGTCCACCTCCACGCCCAACAGCACCACGTTGGCCTCAGGCGGCTCCGCCAATGGCCGGCTTCGGCTTGGGCTTCGGCTTTGGCTTCGAAGCCGGAACTGGCTGTGGCTCCAAGAAAATGGAACCCCAAAAGGGTTCCTAGGGAAATGGAAACAGAAAATGGAATCCCCGAAATGGCCCAAAATGGGAAATGGAAAAGACCAAGACCTGCGGTTTGCCCTGGCTCTTAAACTTTGAGCCACACCCAACTCCCCTGGCCGAAACCCAAGGACAACGACGACGACGACGACGACGACGACGACGACGACGGTGGCGACGGAACGGCGCCAAGCGGCGGCGGCGGCGGCGGCTACACACACACACACACACACACGTCAGTCGCCATATGGCTGTGGCTCAAAAAACCGGAACTCCAAAATGGCTTGCCCTGGTAAGTGGAAACACGGACCAAAACCTGCGGTTTGCCCCTCCTGTTTAATTTTGAGCCACGCCCATATTTAGTCCCGTATAAAACAGCACCCCAACCAAAAGGAAACTCACTGAAATGGGCGAAATCCACCAACACGCTTTGCAGGTCGAATGAGGACTTCCACAAAACTCCGAGCGATTTCCTAAAAACATACCATAACGTGTCTCAAAAACAAATCCTGTCAGCAATCAAAGCGCCTCCATTCCACTTCATCCCTTGAGATGGTGGCCCTGTTCACAACATTCACACCCTCCTTCGAAGGCTGAACAAGGACAACGGGCAGTACCGAAACGCAAATGTGTGGTCCAAAGACTAAAAAAGCTTTCCGTCTCCATGTTCTAGTCACGCTCAAACAGACATTGCACAACAATGTCCTGATATATTCCAACCAGGAATCGCTACACAGAAAGCTCTTTTCCTGGCTTGAGTTGTTCAGCCGCGAGCTTGAATTACAAAAGACCGCCTAAGGTACACGATACTCGGCAAGGCACCCACCCATTGGAGCGATGAAAAAAAAACGCCCTCTCATGTCTCCACGGCTTTCCTTTCCAGGGTTTCACTTTTTGACTACCCCCAAATGACTTAAACCCAGAATTGGGTCATGTACCCCAAAAAGGGAACCCCTGATTTTAAGCCTATTTGCAGGTCAAAAAACAAAACACTGAAAAATCCTGGATTCCTGTCGGTTTCCCACCAAAACCACTCACCCGAAAAAGACCAACCCAGTCAGCTTCGCCAGTCATCGCCGCGGCGCCACGATCAGCAGCGCCACGAAGTGGCTGAAGACGGAACTCTCCACCATCGCCGCCGCCACGTCCCGCAACGACATCTCCGGGTCGAAGCCCGCGTCCTCGCACGGAAACAGAGCGGAGGGAGGTGCTGACCTGCGTACTGTACCTTTGTTGTGGTGTTTGTCTGTTTGTTTGCTTTTCCCCGTTTTCCCTGGAGTACCCCCAGAAAGGATGACTCCAAGGTGGGTGCTTTAGTTGTTAGTTGTCGGATGTTGTTTCTCTGTTTGCATGGTGTTTCGGTTTGTTGGTCTCTTTGTGGCGGTTAGTTTGTCGCTTGGTTCTTTTTCCTGTTGTGCCGTGTTCTTGTGGCTGTTTGCTGTTCTTTATTAGTCAGCTGTTGACATCACGCCCTGAAAAAAATGAGAACCGCATGTGCGTGTTGTAGCTCCCAGCGAAGCAATTCAGAAGATCAAACAAGCAAAACACTAAACCCTGGGATTTGCAGTCTTCCATGATTAGTGGTTCATATGCTGTTTTTCTTTGTTTGGAAGGAAATGCAAGAATCAAGGTTTACAGTATCATGTCCCTCTTTCCTTTTCACTGCTGCGCTGCAAAGCCTTCTTCGTGGCCATCACGTATTGACGTATGGCTCCAAATGGCTGTCCCATCGCTGGAACTGATGCGCATGCTCTGTGGTATATGTGCCTCTTCCAAACACCCTCTATCTCTGAGCTCATCCCAACATGGCCCCGTCATGACGCCTAGAAACACACGTACCTGTTTCAGTCCGCGAGCTGAAAACAACTTGGTTTTTTTTTGGAGTGGAGGGGCTGTGAAGCAAGGGAAGCAGTCCGAACAGCAAACCAAGGCAGATGTCACGTCCTTCTCCCGGCGGAAGCTCAGGGAACTGCTCTGCAGCTTTGCCTGCGACGCGAAGGAAAGGCGAGAAGTAGAGGAGACATTCCTGCATCATGGCTTTAATGACAATATATATATATATACATACATATATATACATATATGGTGTGCATCTATATATATATATATACATGTATTATACATACATATACACAAAGCAAAAACAACAAAACACCATTTCATGCAATGAGTGATATAAAAATGATGACGCAACTCATGATGTAGAATGAGTTAAGGGGCCTTCCTCCCAAAAGACACCCGTGGAATAGCTGAAAGGTGCTTTGTCGAAGGTCTCGTGGGCATTGGCCATGGATATAACATCTGGCTCATACTTAATATTAACTGCTATTCCTGTTAATTATCCTATTATAAAGATTTGTATGTAGCTTAATTCTGCTATACCATCATCTAATAGAACTAAACCATTAACTATCGAAGAGGCTCTCTTTTCATTTGCTTGGAACTGAAGAACATTTGTCAGAAGTCCCACGAGCGCTCACTTCGGCCTTGGCAACTTGAGTGAGTACCAAGCGCGTTGGCAACCACTGGCAAAAGCAGTCTTTTCACAAGAGAAAACTGGGCTGCCCTCAGATCCCCCGCTAAAAGTTTAACTTGTAGTGGGTTAAATGAAAACTACCACTAAACACTAAAAGGCTAAAAAGCTAAGGGGATGGCTGGGAGCCACCAAGAAAACTAAGCCATGCATGGCTGTGCCTGACAAAAATACCCGCACGCTCCCAGTCAGCCAACCTGCATGTCAGACATCAAAACATCACAGTCAACAAGCAGTTATCGGCCACTTTTCGGCTTTTCCCTTCAATCCTTCAATCCACCCAACCTCCACCCAGCCAAAACCCAACCCTAACCCCAACCCCCACTCACCCACCTGCCCTCTTGAACCTTCCCAATTCCTTCGTTTCGCTCGCGCGCCTTCAGCTTGTGCACCTGGATTGACTCTCTGACGAAAGAGTTCCTCATACTCTTGGTGCTGACCACGCTCCTTCGCGGAAACAATTCCTTTCTGTAAGGCCTCTGAGTGCTTCACTTGGGACCTTTTCTCGGGGGTATCACCAAGAAAGTGGCAACCTGAGACTACCAACTTCCAGCACCCTGCTCCTGCGCATGTTCATGTTATTCCTGATCGTGGAGTTGGTGCCGCTCAAATCACTGGATCGGCGGCCGAAGGCCGGCGGCAGTTGTGTCTCCTGCCAATGATTGAAGCTTGGTCTTGGTAGAAGGTCTAGCCGTTGTTTGGTGGTTGTGGTCCGGTTGCGGTACCCAATTTTGGGTTCCTTAAAACCGCAACCAACAGAAAAGCTGCCTTTCATGGTGGTACCCGCGGAGTGAAACCTAGCCATATGCATCATCTGGCTCGTTGGACTCCCTGACAGCTGCGAACCCCAGAGCTTGGGCAGAGACCCCAAAGCTTTCAGATCCCCCGCTAACAGTGGCTAACTGTTCGTGGGTTAAATGGAAGAATAACCTTTAGTGGGTTAAATTCGGAAACTGCCACTAAACACCAAAAGGATCTAAAAAGCTCAGGAACCGGATGAGATGGCTGGGAGCCACCAAGAGAACAGCGGCTTTTGAAAGTCTGCAACCGAAACAAAAGCTCTCGCACGTCCTCCGTGACCTCAGTCTGCTGGCGCGTAAATTCCGGCATGACCTGGATCCGCAGGCTGCTCCGTGAAGCACTCTCCGGGAGATCCTCCGGATCCTGGCGCCAAGATGGGGGCTGCTTCTTTGAGGATGCACTTGCTATTGGAAGCCAAAAGACTCAGTGACACACATGGCTTGGCAGAAACCTCAAGCTGGAACTGCAAATGGCTGATGTTGTGTGTTCTCCCTTTATGCTTTTCCATGAACTGGCCTCTTCGGCCAATGGTCCTGTGCTTTAGCAGATAGTTGACGCTGGTCTTTGCTACACCTAGATATGCAGCGCTAGGCTCAAAGGCTCAAAGTACTGCGGTACCTGGTGTGAAGCTAGCAAAAAGATGAACCCAGATTGAGACATGCCCGCTTTGTTGCGCCTGAAAAGTTTCCGGGCATAACAATGGAAAATATGCGTCATGCAAAGTGTCTCAAACCCAAAGACTGATACATTCACATGAAGCCAACCAGTCGGCCAACCATAGTGGCATCATGTTTCCAGAAGCTTGGGATCGTCGTTGAAGAAAATCAAAGAAACCAATCTTTGTTGGGGCTCTTCCTTTTGGGGCACACACAAACAGCACTATGTACCCTCGATTGAACTTGAGGGAGGCCCCAAGACAACTTCAAGCCCAGTCAAAGGGGCCCTTTAAATTCCACTGCGTGTACAACGTCACCAAACGTTGAGTCCTCTTCGCCAAAACAGACAGGTGGTGTTGGAGCTCTTTCCTTTGGTCCTTTGGGAAGTGACGTCTGTTGTCCAATCAACCAGAACATGTTTTCACAGGCATCGCTTACCTTCGGGTAGTGACAATGATGACCATGGCAGCCGCGGAATGACGCCAAAAGATAGGAAAGACACCACACGTTGAACCAAATCCCGCCAGCGGTTTCGAGGAGAGTATTGAAAGGTTCAGGAGCTGCAAAGCAAATGAGAGGACTGCTCTTGTCGGCCCACCTTTCTAAGGGGGTTCAAATCGCAGCGGTCTGTGACTGCGGCGACCACCCAAATGGAGCCAGCAGGAACCTGAACTGTCCCTTTGGGGAGTATGTTTTGAAAACGAGGTGAAGTCTTCCCCACGCTTTTGGCACAGCTGAAACAATCTCAACCCAATGCGTTCCTAAATTGCCCTCCCTAAGGGTCCCGACTGTTTTTTGGGCCCTCCAAATGGGCTGTTGTTGAGGGCCCTTGAGGGGTCGGGCTTCTCCATTGGAGGGTGCGGGGGTCTGCATTGGCGGGGTCATGACCCTTAGGGCTGTACACATCACCAGAGGAAACTCCCTGACAACGCTTGCAAAAGCGATGTGGCCCAAACCCAACCCCAGAAAAATGTTCTCCTGGTGCCCTTCTGCTTGTGGCTTCGGAGCATCACCTTCCCAGATGCTCTCCAGCCGCCGCTCCGACAGCCGCCGCTCCGAGAATCGTCGCTCCGACTGTCGCCGCTCCGACTGTCGCCGCTCCGACAGTGAAAGGAGGGACTCCTGGCGCATTTGGGGACACATTTATCTCAGTTTCTGCCAAAAAAGACTTTGTTCCACAAATATTGGATGGGCCTTTAGAGAAAAGCAGAATGGCCAAGCAAGGTCCCCCAGTTCTTGGAAGAAACAAAAGCCTGCGTGTTTCAACCGCGAAGCACCACAAACCTCTGAGGATTTTTCACACAAACGAGCGCCAGAGCGCTCGAAGAGGGCGAGGCCCTGAAAAAGGAGCATAGACAAAGAAAAAGAAGAACACGAGGATGGAGGGAGAGAGGGAGAAAAAAAAGAGTGAAACAGAGACAGAGCGAGTGAAAGAGACAGACAGACAGACAGACAGACAGACAGACAGACAGACAGACAGACAGACAGACAGACAGACAGACAGACAGACAGACAGACAGACAGACAGACAGACAGACAGACAGACAGACAGACAGACAGACAGACAGACAGACAGACAGACAGACAGACAGACAGACAGACAGACAGACAGACAGACAGACAGACAGACAGACAGACAGACAGAGAGAGAGAGAGAGAGAGAGAGAAAAAGAGAGAAGAGGAGAGATAAATAAAGAAGAGAGAAAGAGAGAAAGAGCGAAAGAGAGAGAGAGAGAGAAAGAGAAAGAGAGAAAGAGAGAAAGAAAGAAAGAAAGAAAGAAAGAAAGAAAGAAAGAAAGAAAGAAAGAAAGAAAGAAAGAAAGAAAGAAAGAAAGAAAGAAAGAAAGAAAGAAAGAAAGAAAGAGAGAAAGAGAGAAAGAGAGAAAGAGAGAAAGAAAGAAAGAAAGAAAGAAAGAAAGAAAGAGAGAAAGAGAGAAAGAGAGAAAGAGAGAAGAGAGAGAAAGAGAGAAAGAGAGAAAGAGAGAAAGAGAGAAAGAGAGAAAGAGAGAAAGAGAGAAAGAGAGAAAGAGAGAAAGAGAGAAAGAGAGAAAGAGAGAAAGAGAGAAAGAGAGAAAGAGAGAAAGAGAGAAAGAGAGAAAGAGAGAAAGAGAGAAAGAGAGAAAGAGAGAAAGAGAGAAAGAGAGAAAGAGAGAAAGAGAGAAAGAGAGAAAGAGAGAAAGAGAGAAAGAGAGAAAGAGAGAAAGAGAGAAAGAGAGAAAGAGAGAAAAAGAAAGAGAGAAAAAGAAAAAAAGAGAGAAGAGAGGAAAAGAGAAAAAGAGAAAAAGAGAAAAAGAGAAAAAGAGAAAAAGAGAAAAAGAGAAAAAGAGAAAAAGAGAAAGAGAGAAAGAGAGAGAAGAGAGAAAGAGAGGAAAAGAGAAAAAGAGAGAGAGAGAGACAGAGAGAGAGAGAGAGAAAGAGAGAGAGAGAGAGAGAGAGAAGAAACAGAGAAAGAAAGAAAAAGAGAGAAAAAGAGAGAGCAAGACAAAGAGAGTGGAGAGGGAATCCTCAAAAACTGGGCTGCCGACACAGAGACGTACAAGGACCGACAGTTTAAATTGGGGACCAAAACCAGTCGCTCAGCTTTGCTGCCGCCCCAGGACAGTTTGCTCCTTGGACAACGCAAGCGAATGGAGCTTTGGAAAAAGAAACGGTCAACGGATATAGCCAAGCAGGCAGCAGTTGCTGTGTGGGTGCCTTTGCGGCTTGGATAGCAAACAAAGCGAACGGACTAAACATGTGCGGGAAACCACATCCAATTCTCGAAAGCATTCACTCTCTCAACCAAGTACCCCAATCGTAGGTGTCCTTTTGGGCAACGCGATGGGTTTCGCTGGTAAATAAAATGAGACCCCGTCCGGAGCTGCCGCCAAAACCCTTGTGGGCGAAACTGGAATATCTCTCAGGCCTTCGCATTCGTTTTTGAGGCCGTTTGTGGGCGTGATGCGCGACAGACAGTTCTTCTCATGCCATTGAGAAAGGATACAACAGCTCTTCTCAGACCACCGAAAAGTTTGTCCAAAGCGCCCGTGCCATTGAGAAAGGCACCCTACACCCTCCTTGCTATGTTCGACAAGTTTGTCTCCAAAAAGGCCGTGCCATTGGGAAAGGCACCCTGAGCTCTCCTCGCTATGTTCGACAAGTTTGTCTCCAAAACCGGCCGTGCCATTGGGAAAGGCGCCCTAAGCTCTCCTCGCTATGTTTGACAAGTTTTTCTGGGAAAGGCAGAATGCAACAGCTCCCTCGTCGCTAGAAGTCTGACTAGAGCAGACATGCCCTACGACAACCCTACAATCGGGTTGTAAACAACGTGTTTCTTCTAGCGTTGACTTGGCTCCAAGGTCCATGAATGCCTTTTGACAGGGACCCTTTTCACTAGCCCTCATCTGAGCCAGTGCTCACGAATCGGAACCTTCGTGAAATTGGCCTTCGTTTTTGCCTTCGTTCAGCCTTCTTTTTTCGTGCAATCTCGCGCCCGGCTTTCTTCCGAGGCTCTTAGACCTTGCAAGTAAAGCCTGGGTGTGTCAACTCAACAGCGCTCTGTCCGAGTTACAGACAAAAAGGCAGCGGAGACTACCTGCAACCTCGCTACCATGCGCTACAAGTGCTCCACAGACAAGCGCGAGTGCATCAGGACATGCGCGAACGACCCCGCGCCGTACCGAACCTCCTCCCGCATCGCAAACGCCGACATTGCCGACGCGGATCTAAAAACACAGCACTCAAAGCCATCATGCTAGGAATGCAAATAATTTATTGGCTGAGCAGACTGCTCACAATCAAAAGCCTTCGTTTTAAAGACCGGCCTTCGTTTGGTGTGTTGGACCCGATTCCACTCCAATACAAATCCCCTGTTCCGACCCTTTTGGTGGTAGCTCAGCTACTTTTAGCCAAACTAACTGATCAAAAGGACACCTATGACCACCCGAATCCACCCATCCACCCATCACCTTCTGCTGCGCGAAGCGCAACTCTATTAGCTCGCGCAGCTCCGCGAGCTGCTTCAGCAGCAGACCTCGGCACCCGACCCCAGGCCATCGCAATCAGCTCAAAAGCTCAAGGCTTTCGGGCGGGGTTGATGCACCACAAATATATAATTGAATTCACAGCAACACGGCACCATTTTACCGCATGGGAGAGTGGTGCGCGCCGTGTCTCGTTACCCTGAACAGGAGCAAACCGCCAGGCATCCTAGACAGACCCCAAAACACTCCACTAGACTGCCCCCTTCTGCACAAACCGCACAGCTTGCACCAACAGGGGGAACTGGGTCGGGTAAAGTGACATCCTCAAATTCATCTCCCCAGATGCTCGGCTTCGTGATTGTCCGCGCTGTGACTCAATTTGGGCTGGAGGTGCCAGACAGCGCGTCCTCCTTGGGCGAGTCTGCAGATTCCATGGCAGCAACAAACCTCCAGCGATACTCCGCGAAACAGCAAGGGCAGAGAGCTCTCTCATATTCTGGCAGTGCTCTGCCATTTCTTGCCCCAACAGCTGCTTGTGTTTTTGTTTTTTCCCCATGGTACGGCGGCGATGGTCGGAAAGCATACGCCCTCGAAAAGTGGGAACATGGTGTTTTGTCTCATACATTTCTCGCTTTCCGGGAGCTTGAGAAGCGCTGAGATCGGGCCAAGATGTCGATCTCATGCATACTGTGGATGGTTGCGAAATCCGTTTCCCACCCAAGAAACCCTGGAATGATGCGATTCCCCAACGCAAATACCAACAAACAATGGTCTCAACCATGGCTTCAAAGCGGTGCGAGAAGCGGATTTCGTCCATCCGCAGTAGCTGGTCTTTGGGAAAAATAGATGGGTTTCCCTGGTAAATGGGTAATAAACCCCATCTAAACCAGTGGAACCCATCTATCTTTAACCAAACTCCCCTAAAAGGACACCTATGGATATGACTAGTGGGTGCTTTTGTTGATGTCCAGAAATCAAATGATCAACACCTGCGAGCACGATAGAGAAGAAAAAAAAGGAAGAAAAGAAGGAGAAAAAAAAGCTCCGGCGGGCACTGACTTTAGTGGAAGAAACTGTAAAATTATCCCGGCGTTTTGGTGAAGAAGGTAGGTTTTTGCGGGGCCTACCATATATATATATATATGTCGTCTATGTTATATGATTTTTTGCAATATGGCTTTCTGAAACTCAGTACAAAGAACCTGTTTTTGCACCAAAGAAGTCATGGGCCCCTGCGGGCACCCATTCTCTTTAGAAGGGTCTCAATGTGAAGAACATGCTCCAGCGGAAGCTCCTAACCCCCGCTGATTTCGGTGCTTGCGCCTCAACCCAAGAAGCACACCTAGCACATGAGCCATGGCCAGAACATGAGCCATGGCCAGAATGAGTTGTTTCCACCAGAAAATACGAGCTGGACCACCAGCCTTTGGAAGTTGTTTCGCTCCTCCCGAACCCCAAATGGACCATAGACAAATCCAATGCACTCGGCACCCTTCGGAACAAAGACGCTGAAAGAGTGTCGTCTGCACCTCTCGCCCATCGTACGAATATGGGTGTGTCCTAAAAAATGAACCCACAAGAAAAAGTTGTCCCTTTGGGTCTCCTTTAAAACCACGAAAAAGGTACCAACTCAAACATGGCCTCGGGAACGAACTTCCTGACCTGTCAGGCGCGCGCGCGGCCGCGCGCCCATTTTCCCCGGCGAGAAGCCTTTGGCCCGACAGCTTGAAATCCCTGCCGTGCACTGTGCCTAGCGTCGGGAGCTTCGATCGCACGACCGGGCTAAGGTTGCCCGCCGCTTGGCACGGCTTGGAAGGCAATCCAACCTGAAGAAGCTCAGACCAACAAGCGGCCGGCAACTGCGTTTGGAACATCGCGCCATGCTTTATCTTCGTTTCCTTTTTTTCTCTGCAAGCAAAGGGTGAGCTCTGTTTTTGGCCGCCCTCCGGATGTCAGCGAAAAGCTCCCGAGCTGCCCTCAACGGTTCTTGGGGCCGCTGGGCCAATTGCCCGAGCGGCGCCATCGGCGAAACCCGAGCCAAAGGTCTGCCATGGCAAGTCCCGATATCATAACAGCACCCTCCGGGACAGTAGTAGATTCATGGAGAAAAGGAAAGAACCTCCGGTTGAGTGGGGGTTTTCCATTCCTGTGTGTCCAAAAAACTCATTTGGGCCCTTGCTGTCATTCTTTCCAGGCCTCATGAAACAGTCTTGAGGCTGCCCTTTGCCTGCTGGCTGATATGTTGGCCAATTGCCTGCACGGCTTCCTGCCGCTCGTGCTGGAAGTCAGTACCCTCCAAAACCAGATCATCACTCTCATATTCTCCAGTCCAAGCTATGAACCGTGATCCGCTTTACAGATAGAATGGGGTCCTCATGTAAGTCCAACAATTTCCCCCCCAAGGACATAGCCCTCTCAACGAAAAGAGTTTGCGAACCGTGAGCACCCCTTCAATTGGCCGGTGCAAGAATTGGGCAAGAAGGCCCTTTGGACCTGCAGATTGCATCACGTCACAATCCAATTTAGGAAGACTCACTTTTGATAGTCCCAGTGGTTTTTCGTGGATCCGGGCCTGGCCTCTTTGGCAATTTTTTGCAGCCGCCCAAAGCTTCCGGCAGAAGCCAGTGGCTGCACCAAAAAGTTCCTTTGAAACTGCTCACGCGGCCTTTGTAGCCTGGCAATTCACACGGATAGAAGACGGCGCGTGGAGGGGTCTCAAAGATGTGGGGGGGGGGGGTCCAAAAATGTGGCGCCGCCATAGCAGAAATGCGAGGTGTCCACAATTGCCGGTCCCAAAGCGGACAGCTTAGATGTTCGCAGAACGCCGTCCGGGGGCTCAAAAGAACTTGTTTCATAGGTCTCCTTTTGGGAAAATCAATGGGTGTCCCTGGTAAATGGAATGAAACCCATCCGGCTGTGGTTCAAAAATAGGTACCACAAATGGAACCGTGTTAAGTGGAGCCATGGACCAAAACCTGCGGTCCATATCCTGGTGGTTTTATTTTGACCCATATCTAAACCAGCGCCAAGAACACCTATGCTGTTGCTTGGGACATGTGGAGACCCCAAGATCCAGGCTCCGGCCAGGAGCGCCCGTCACGTGGCTTTTCCTTCCCCCACACATCCTTCCGCACCTACCAAAGCAGCACGGATGCCAAACAAAGGGGTCCTTCCCAAAAGGAGAGTTCCCTCCACCAACAGAACAGTTTCTCTTTCAAGCCTGTATCTGAACTTGATTTGGTCTGTATGGGGAGCATCTTCTTTGTTTTGTGGTCTGTATGAAAAAAAAAACATGCTCTTTGTTTGCTTCTTGTTTCTGGTCGTGCTTGTTTTCGTATTTCCGCCTGTGCCTTTTGTTTTTCTTCGATTTTTGTTCGCTCCGCCCCCAGCCGAGCCAAACACCCCAGCCAGCCGCGCCACGGAGCTCAGCGCGTGGGCGGGAACCCATACCTCAAGTCCCCAGCTGAAGGGGCGGTGTCTCCATGGTGTTGTTGGGCTTACAGGAGAAACACCCAGGGAAGAAAAAAAAACGCGCCACTTTCGGGGGGTCCCCCCGAAAAAAACGCACCCAAATCTGGGGAGCATGGAATATACAACAACCGCATACATGGGTGGGTACTCGAAAAACCTCACTGTTTGCGGGTCAGCAGGAAATCTTCATCTTTCGGCAGGCTCCCGCTTGCTTCAAACAGGGTCAAAAGTGCCACTATCCTACGTGACATATGGCAGAAGTGCAAGTCTGCCCGCAACATGCTGCGTCGTCAGACAGCTCTCGAATTGTGCCCCTCCCTCTCAAGACTGCCTCTAGCCGCACGAGAGAAAACTATCACCCGGCCAGGCTTTGCAGAAACAGCCAGCGAGGGCCGCAGAAAAAGACGAATGGCTGGCGCAATGTTCCTGTTTTTAAAACACCTCAGGCTGGCTCTGATCAAGCAACTCCGCTGCACAGTATCCACTTAACGATTGGTGTCATGGGTCGATCCAAAAGGCCAATCCAGAAATCTTCACATCCGAGGCATTCACCGTTCACTTGCGCGAGCTCAAATGATAATCAACTTAAGAATGCCTGTCTGCAGACACTCAGCAACCCTCCCGGTCTTCGATTTCATGTGGTGCTTCGGGTTCGTCTCCGGCCGGGGGATGACTCAGTCGCGCCATCAAAGCACCGTTGCCGCTACCGCTACAGCCTCTTGCTTTCTTTTCTTCCCGTAATTTGCTCAAGGAACCAACCAGCAAGCACATCTGCCAGTCACGGCCACATCTTGAAGGTGCGAACACAGAATGAGATATATTTGCCGTTGGCCACTCATCGTGACCAGTCCGGCCTATGGAAACACAACAAATCATCACAAGCAAAAGGTCACTGAAGCGAACCTCCTCCCGCCAGCACCGGGCACCGCACGGTTGCTGGAGGGGTGGCGTTTCGGTGGCATCGAAGCGCTTCTCCACGCTTTGCCTCAGCTTCCAGACGCTGGTAACAAAAAGACCTGCGAAGATATAACGACGCTCGCGTGCGTGAATGGGGCAAACCCAGCAAATCCTATCTAGGATACCAAAAAGGTGCACCGAAAATCAAAAACAATGCGCTGAATGATATGGGGGCTAAGCCGAAACTTGCTTGACTTGGGATCAAGAGATCATCCGATTCAAGGTGACCATTCTACGGGACTATCATGGTGCAAACGAAGTTGGACTTAGGCAGACTAATCTGCCACCTGCGAGTGATCAAGCCTCGCCTGCGCGTGAGCTTCATCCGCTCCTGTCCCCAGACAAAACGCAAGAGCAGCAGTCCACCTGATCAACATGCTCACAACCCTATTCATGCGTTGAAAATGCACCACCAGAAATGCATGGGAGTGGATTCGCCCAGTCAGGCGTTCCATCAGCCGCTCCGGAAGTATAAACGACTGATAATGTCTGAACTGGCGGCCCGAAACAGGGCTTTGATGCATGTTGCCCATAGCAACTGATGCCGGCCTCTTTCGTTCATGCAGAGTGGCGGGGACTTCCGGGGCGGAAGTCAGCGCGCAGTCCTTGAGGTCTCTTAGTGTAACATGTGCTGAAAATACTGCGGATAACAGGTCAAAACACACTGATCGACCTGGCCAGTGGTTTGTCGACACTCACTCTTCGGAGAACCTCACGGTCCGGACCTCGAAAAATACATGAAGGAACACATGAGCCCTTCAATCCATCGGTCAATCAATCAGCCAACCAACCAACTCTCCCCTTCTATCTACCTATCCATCTATCTGTCTGCCTGCCCGTGTCTGCCTGTCTGCCTGTCTGTCTGCCTGTCTGTCTGTCTGTCTCTCGTACCTGGGGCCCCTGGCCAGGCGGAAGGATAGCCCTCCTCGCTGAGGCTCGCGAGGGCATACCGCGAAGGATGCCACCTGGCCATGAGTGCGGCCAGGCGGGCTGGGTGCGGCCAGGCGACCCCGCGGGCAGAGGCTGAATCAGACTTCTGGTGGGTTGAGTGGAAAACCCCCAAGTGATTTCCCCAAAAGTTAAGGTCTAAAGATTCAACCCAGCAGTCAAGATTAGAGGCCGCAGGCTTGGAGTGCAGATTTGCTCTGATTAGTGGATTGGTGGTTTGGTCGTTTGGTGGTTGAGGGGTGGTTTCCCATTTACCCTCTACAAGAAGCAGGGCTTCAAATCCCAAACCACCAATCCAAACCACCAATTAGGGGCTACCTGAGTACTTGTCCAGCCCCTCAAAAGTGCACTCCAAGGGTGAAGCTGATGGGGAGGTTCGGAGGCTGATGGTTGGCCCATGCACTCCAAGGAAACCAGAGTGAGTGCTACAAGTGCCCCTTCCCGATACAAGGCGCTCCTATCTCCTAGTTCAATCCCCCGAACCAGCTATGTCACAGTGGGTTCAGCAGCAGGTTGGATGGTCCGTGAGCAAGAAATGACCGGCGGGAAAGAGCTTTTCACGTAAGCACCGAAGCAGGAAGCATGGAAAAAGAGTGAGAAGCAAGCGTTTCCGGAAAGTACCAATAGCCATTGCGAAACCAAAAGTTTGCAAGCCTCGGCTTTCATCAAAGTGCTCGTCCACCCCAAAAGAGGGCAGCACAAGCCAGTTTGCGATATGATTCGATCCGAAGCGGAGCGACTTTTCGGGAAACCTAAACAGAAAAACCCTAAGAGACGCTTGGTACATCTGTGCGAACACCAACGCCGGCCGGCGCAAGCGTGGCGGGCTCGACACCAGCCGCGTCTCCCACATGAAGGCCAACGTGCCGCTGTACCTGGACAGACATTCCCGGCCGGCTGAGTAGCCGTCCTTCTGATGGGTTGGCAACAGGGAATGCCCTGACTTCAAATGCTTGGGTCACGGAATTCTACCACAGCTTCCTTGTCCCCTAACATCACCCAAGAGAACACTCGCTCAACACTGGTCCAAAATGTGGTCAAGATTTGCAGGCGCCACAAGGCAATTCCCAGCCTCACAAGTCATTTTGAGAACCCCTGATGTTCACTTCAGATACCCCAATTCAAGCGCTTTCACAGGTCCTTATTTGACAAGCTGAGATTTGCTGGCTTTACGAAGCTTTTTAATCACGACCCTCTTTCCAGGAGAGCCCCAAGCACATGCACTCACCACTGCAAGATCTTTCCTGCCCCGTGTCAGCAGTTGGTCTGGGCTGGAAACTCTCATACTGCAAGAACCAGTTGGACCCGTTCAACTCCAACTCCAGTTACCAATCCAACTCGAACAAATCAATCTGGGCCTCCGACCGAGTGCGCGACCCAAAACGCGACTTTGGGGGTGTCCAAACCACCAATGGACTGACAGGAACCCCCCACGAAAAAGCTCTAAAGCCCTAAAACGCCAAGGAACCGGATGGCTGTGAAGGATCCACCTGACATGCCTCCAAAAAAAAAAAAAAGGAAGAAAAAAACAAAGAAAAGGGGGGAAAAAAGAAGAAAAAAAAGAAGAAAAAGGAAACAACGGCTGGAAGTTACGTTGAGGGAGCTCCCTGCCGACTCCCTCCCTCCATCGGCGCGCCGCTCCGGCTGCATCCCATCCAGCTCTGTGCCCTTCTTCACCGCCGCGGCGTCTGGGCCGTGGGGCACGTACCTGGCCGTCGCGCGACGGCCAGCGCGCAGCAGTGGCCGCTGGTTTTGGGCCACCTTGTTGGTTCGGGTTTGTTTGTGGGGGTGGGGGTGGGGTTGGGGTGGGGCTGCGTGGTGGTGGGGGTGGGGGATGGGGGTGGGGGTGGGGGTGGATCCGGAAATTTCTCACAAGGGTAGTTCAAAGAGAAAGCAAAGAAACATGTTGGTGTCCCCAGTTCAACCAGACATATTGAATGTAGCTGCGAGGTGGGAAACAAACAGGGGAAGTATTACGGTAAGCACCTAATACGTCCAAGTTGTAGGTTGTTCCTGGCTGTGCTCGCACGTGGCTGGTTCACTTCCAATATTTAGGAATCCACCATAGGGACGCCAAGCACTGAGCCAGAGAGGGGCGGAATCGCCCGCAAAAGAAGAAAACTGGTGTGTCCCAAAAAGAAATGGACATGGAGCCCTTCTTTGATTCATATTTCAAGTCAAGTCCAAAGGGGTCATCAATGTTAATTACACATTCAAACGGCCGAAGTCACTTCACCAGGAATCTTTGAGTCTCCTTTTTCCCCCGCTCCACCACTGTTTGTGCGCATATGTTCTGCAATCCGCATCCATGTCAACCAAATCAAGCTTCAAACGGGAACACGGTCGCCAAAAAAATGGTTGGCTAGAGACGGCAATCAACCACGCGCATTGAAGCGAGAGCTGATTCTGCAATGGGCCAATCGCAGGTGCTGCTTTGTTTCCCTTTCCTGCTAGAAGACGGCGTAGGGCTTAGCCCTTACGCTTCTCAAGGCAATCTACCTAACCCAGGAACCTCTCGAATAGTTTTGGATTTGCCGCAACGTGTCCGCATTCCGCACAACCGGCCACGAGGGCATAGAACAAATCGCTCTGGCAAAGCATGCTATGTTGTTTCGGAGATATCCAGGGACGGTGACACTGAGAACAGTAAAACCTATGTCCACTTCAAGCAGCCTGCCAGAGGTTTGACGCGGACCTTCCTTGGATCATGCAAAAAAAGAGAGAGCAAAAAGCATCCCCAACCGGACCAAATTCACTCTCCATGGATGTCCAGAACCCTCCCAGCAACGCGCCGGATCAAACCCAGAACCCCGCCGTTGCAGGGAGCAAGTCGAACTTGGGTCGAACTGGAAAGCCACATGAGGCCAAATCAAAAATGATATGTTCCCCGGCAAAAAAAAAAAATAAATGTGTTGTCCTGCACGCCCCTCGCAAATGAACCACATTCCCCACCACCCATGGGAACCATGTTTTTTGTGGTTTAAAAAGAACATACGTGACTCATTGGCGCACCGATTGTGGATGGAGGCTGCCCCTGGCAGAAAGCTGTCCTTAGAGCAAGCCGGGGGCCTCGAAAGAACAACAACCGCGTCCAAAGCGACAAGGGATGAGCTTGGGAGGGACTTGTTTTGGGGTCTCACTAAATATCCGAGAAAAACAAAAGATTTATATGTCCTTGCCAACAGCTTCTTGCTGGTGCCCAGGGCCCCCTCCACCAGCTTGGCTGGTGTTCCTTTTGGCAACCCGCAAAAAGGGGGAAGCCTTGAAAAAACAAACGAGCGCGCCAGTTGGGATGGATGATGCCCTATGAAGACTGGCTGATAAGCCACCTGCCCACTGGTGCGAACCAAATTTATCCATCCACAGTAGCTTCCCTGAAATTACTGGTTGCTTTGTACGGGTGGTTTCCCTTGTACCCTCTACAAACACCTGGGATTTAACCCTATTCAGGGCAATCTAGTAAATGAGGGGCCAACCGTCTCACAAGCCCCATGTCTTGGAAAGTTCCGAGGCTCGCAGTGAGCTGTCGATCTTAGGCCTGCCCTTTTGCCTTGTCCGTGAAAAAGACCTGGCCGAAATGGGTGTCTTTTTGAACCAAAAGCCAACCACACTACCAGGGTGTTTTGGAACCAAAGGTTCAAAAGGAACCAGCAAAAGGAACCAGGTGCTATGGGTCCTTTTCTTTTGGAACCAAAAGGAAACCACCTGCGGGTAGTTTGGAGGGTTCCAGAGACAAACTCCCCGCACTTTGGATCTGGCTCACGAGGCTGAACCTGATCGAGGCCCGGGCAGGCTTCGCATCATAGGTACCTGGTTGCGAAGTCTACGTCACCTTGAAGAATCCAAGGTCGCCATCTGCCAAACACACCGAAGGTTTTGCACATTGGATGCAAAAAGAAAGAAACGGATCTCGGACAGGATGCAAAAAGCAGCACGAGACAATTCTTCCCCAAAGGAGGGGTCGCCTGCCCTTGGTAACAGTCTGGCATCTGCTAGCTACCAAACAATCTTTGTAGCTGTCATTCTGCCCCACGCTGCACAATGAAGAAGAACCAGAAGAGGAATAATACTGTGGATGGACGAAACCCTGCACCATCTAAGAAACTCTGGAATGATGATGCTCTTGTAAATACCAACCATGGCTTCAAAGTGGTGCGAAATGGATTTCGTCCATCCACAGTAGTAATAAGAAAGAAGATGCATGTTTGGAAACGCCCGCCGGTCACGGCATGCCTCTTCCTCTTTTAATGTACTGCGTGCAGCGTGCCTTGGGTTGGTACACTTGCTTGTCGAAATAACACGCACCTTGGGACGCACCTGTAGCAGTGGTCATGAGCCTCCCAATAAGCATCCTCATGAACCCCAAGCCACCCGGTGTTTCCAACCGCATCCCTTGTGTTCGCTTTGAAAAGAATGGGGATGTCTACATGTCCGTGTCAAACAGGAAGCTCATCGAGTTTCTCGTGCAAGAAGGTGCAAAACAAAAAATATTTGCAGCAATCCAGGAAGCGCACAAAACAAAACGGATGTTCCAAACCCACGATAAAAGTGCAAGAAGGTGCAAAAACAAATATGCAGCAATCCTGTGGATCTACCAAACCCACCCCGGAAGATCCCACCATGGCCCTGCCGCGGACATCCCATCGCCTCCAAACACCTCCACTTGAGATCCCTGCCTGTGAGGAGCCCCATGAACTCGCTCATGCAGTTCCGATGGAACCTCATGGCGTTTCGTCCTCTCTAAAATGGGTGGCTCGTCTTTTTAGGCTGAACCCCAAAGCCGCTGCTAAACCAGAAGCACTCCGAACGCAAAGCAGCTCCAAGCCAACCCAAACCCACTGCTCGCCTAAATCAACCCCAAACCACCCCAAGACTCACCCTCATGAAGATTTGAGCCAGCCAAAAGCTCCCCTAACTTAAACCAGCCCAGCAACTCCCAACTGCAACTTCAGCGCCAGTAACCCAGGTCCAAGTGATGCTGGTGATGCTGGGGATGTTGCCAGGCCTGCGATCATGGGTCCCTGGCCTGGTGATTCATGTGCTGAAGGCCAAACAGGCCAAGAAAAACACGGACCTAGAAAAAAGAAGACAAGAAGAAAAACACCTCTACCCCAAAAGGGAAAAAAGAAACAAGGGCCAGTTTTGACTCACTTAACCCACCTTAAGCAACCCTACCGCCGCTGCTAAACCAGCAGCTCCCAGCCAACCCGCCACCAGCCCCCCTGACTCAAACCAGCCGCCAGCAACTCCCCCAATCAGAGCCAACAGGCAAGTGAGGCTAGTGATGCAGGGGATGCGGCCAGCCAACCAACCAACCAACCAACCAACTAATCAACCAACCAACCAACCAACCAACCAACCAACCAACCAACCAACCAACCCACCCACCAACCACCCACCAACCCAACCAACCAACCAACCAACCAACCCACCAGACCCAAAAATAATGCCTCTTCCACCAAAACAAGGCACCCTCAAAAAAGAGGAGAAACAAATATCGAAGCGGTGACCTAAAGGGTGCCGCTCCGGTTGCTTCTTGGGCCCTTCCAAGGCGAAGGGTGTCGCAAGGGGTTTTCAAGGCGCCCCTGGGGTGCCGCACCAAGGAGGGCGGAAAGTGCCCTCCGCAGGCAGCCACCGGGGGGGGAAGATCACAAAGTCCACCTACAGCCAACCGAAGGCGCCACCGAAGGCGCTCCCTTTAAGGAAACTTTGAGGGGAAAACCAAGGCCATCTTGGATACCCCCTGTTATTTTAGGGTACCCTTCTTTGGTTGAGGATACTCCCCTCTTTGGCTGGTGTTGAAGGGAAACCAAAAGGAAAATCGTTGATTCTTCCTCTTCTTATTTTTTGGGGGGAGTCCAACCCAAAAAAAGACGAGGCCACCCATCCTGCATGTGTTGAGAAGGTTATGCAGCTCCTGCATGAGCTTCGGGAAATGTGTCTGCAAGTGGAAGTTCATCACATCAAACCGCCCGGAGAAGTGGCTGTTCTTGTTTGAGGTTTTGTTTTGCCGGGAGACCAAAAAGGAAACCAACCCTTTTGCTGGTGCAATAGGTAATCGGGGTTTGGGAATGAACCGAAAGGGGCTCCCCTTCAGGGAAACCACAGGGGATGGGGTCATTCCATGCCTCATTCCCTGCCGAGCACCATCGGACAAACCCAATTCAAATGCTGGGCACCCTTTTGTGAAGTTGGTTTCAAGGGAACTCCAAAGAAAACCCACTATTGGCATAATAGGTGGCCTTTTGGAAAATCGATGGGTTTCCCTGGCAAGTGGAATAGACCCCATCCAAACCAGTGCCATCTAGTTTTAACCAAGCTAACCAAAAAAGGACCCCTATGAGTATTGGGGTCCCAGAGCGGCGGATTTGGTAAATTTGGTGATTCATGTCCACCAACCTAGGCGCAGCTCCTCCCCATACCGAGTGCCCCGACATTCGCCAAGCCCGGCGAGGTGGTGTAGGAGGATAAGACCTGCGCAAGGAGCCTCCCAACTAACGTGGGTTTGTGCACATTTGGCCCCTTTCCAAAAGGAGACTCGTCTTTCCGCAGACCGTGCGCAAACACATGAAAGCTGGGAGGGACTTTGCAGATCATGGAGCACAAAAAGGGAGTCCCGGAAAAAGGAGACGCGTCCAAAACAAATGGCCGTGTTGGTTCTCATGTGAGCGCGGGAGAACAACCTAACTGTACTTCTCACCAAAAAGCCCCCTTGAAGATTTGACAGGAACATCTAAGACCTAAAAGACTGCATTGTTCCACCCTCCGGACATATTTCACACATTAGCCGTTATGCTTGCAGGAACGGTCCTCCCACATGCAGACCCTCTCCGTCGGCAAAAAACACGGAATCAAAGGAAGTCCCACGAGAAGGAGAATATCGATCGCTCCATTGACCATACGGGGCTTCAACTACTTTCTCACTTGGAGTCCTGTACAAGTGATTCCTTGGAACAGCTGAGGTTGTTCCCCGGAGCCCGGGCTTAGACCATCTATTAAATTACACCATCCTGGATTTCTTCCAGAGATCTTGTGCTACCAACTCACCAGACCCAGGCTTCTGTTCTGCCAGTGCCAAATTACCAGCATGTGTTTTTTTGGAAGACTGCTGTCCTGTGCACGGAGTTTCTGACTGGGTGTGTCTTCTTTTAGGGGTGAGGGATCAAAAAACCACATTTTAGGCATCAAAGACAACTTTTTGTTGATCCCCAACAAAGAGACTTTTTTGATGCCTATCCCTTCTTTTCTCGGGTGGCTCCGGTTGGTTTCCCTTGTGGTTTCCCTTTAAACCCGCAAGAATAACACTCCAAGCTCTCACGGCCCGCGCCGCGCCGATGGAGGGGTCCGGATGGTCGTAGGTGACCTGGAAGGGCTATGGATGCGCCACTAAGAGGGGGCCCAAAACGATTCACCAAGCTCAATGAGTTGAGGCATGCTTCACCTCTGGCAACATCTCATCGGCACAGACGAAATCTCTAGGACCACTCGGAAACCCTGGACAAAAAACTACGTGGTCCCATCAGCGCATGGGGTTCACAGTGGGTGGGACCCATCAATGCCTTCCTGTGAGAAGTTTGGGTGGGTTCCCCCATGCCTCACCAAGCCTGACAAGAAAGCACCACGAAACTTGACTGTGAAGGGCCAACCTCCCAACACCCATACCAAGCCTCAAAAACACAGACACACACACGCACACAAACACACAAAGAGAGAGAGAGAGAGAGGTTCTGGAAAAAACTTGTCCCCGCTTTTGGGTCCGTTCCGGGTGCCATCACTGTGTTGATGGCCATGAACAGGCGCATGTCGTACTTGCCTCAGCGATCCGCTTCATTTCGATGCATTCAACCAACTTTGAGCTTGGCAAATTGACGTGTGCATGTGTGTGTGTGTGTGCGTGTGTGCTTCTGTGTGTCTGTGTGTCTGTGTGGGTGTGTTTGTTTGTGTTTGTATGTGTGTTTTGTGTGTGTGTGTGTTTGTGTTTGCGTATTTGTGCATTTGCATGTTTGTGTGATTGTGTGTTTGCGAGTTGACTTGTTGTTCATTTTACTTAAAAAGAAGAAAAAAAGCTTGTGCATTTGTGTGGTTGTGTGTTTGTGCCTTTGTGCTTTTGTGTTCTTTTTGTTTGATTGCTTTTTGTTTGTGTGTTTCTGTTTTTGCCTCAGGGTGCATGCGTGTGTGAGTGTGCGCGTGTGTGCACGTGTGCGTGTGTGTTTGTGTGTGTGCGTGTACGTGTGTGCACCTTGGTTTCCCTGCAAAATATAATGCCCAAGTTTCGAAGCAAAAGTCTTGAGATATGAGCACTTCCATCGAGACGGGACGCCTTAAAAGGATGTTTGGCAACACGGCTTCCAGTCGGCAACGTGTCCAACATAGCACCGCTTCATGTTTGTGCTTTTGTTTGGAACTGCTCCATCACCCAGTTTGGCCCTCCGAGACACTTGCTCGACGAATCTAGGATTGACGGCGCGCTGCATGCTGCAAGAAGCACTTCAGAAGACACGGCTCCCTTTGGCAACCCGCTTGCCATACCCAAGAAGTTTTTGCCAAAAATCCGGCTGTGCACAATTCTTGACCACCCGAGGTCAGTTCACTTTTCAAGCTATGCATACCCCAAACATGTTCCATGCTTTACGCTGAAAGGTATGGGGTTCCCAATACATAGATTCACGAACGGCATAAGGTGCGGGGTGCAGCCGAAAGCACAAGGCCCGCGTGTCATTTCATCCAAACCTGGCAACAACTAGGCAGAGCCGATGCACCCGAGCTCTAATCTACCACCATGGTAGCTACGTGGGGCCTGAAGCACGCTTACAACCCTTGATGTTAGAACATCCTCTGGGTGAATTCACGTGAAGTCGCGAACCCAACGCCTTGCGGATCTAGCGCTCGGACCACCATTCGGGTTGTATCCTGTCAAACCATTGCTAAATGCCTTCAAAAAAAAAAAAATGTATTTATTCAACCCTTCTTGTTTGACCCAATTTACGTCAAACGAATACAGCAATGAACGGCATGTTAAATTCAAATATGGGTAAACAAAGAAACGGTAACTCGCCAAACCGTGGTTCCTAAATCTCTCCATCCTGCCAAAGGACAATTCCTGAATCCCACCAAATGGGTGCGTCTGTCTTTTCGGGGACCCCTAAAATGGTTGGCTTTCGTTTTGGTTTCCAAAAGCATCCAAAGATCAATCCAAATATTCTTTGAGGAAAAAAAAAGAAAACGAAGCCGCTCGCACCAGCCCTGCCGAACCCCCGACTTCGCAGCTCCCTAGCTCCGAGTTCCCCGGCAGGGCACGTGGCAGCCGTACCACGCCACCACGTCCAGGGGCGAGTGCCTCTCAATCAACGGCGAGCGAACGGCGAACGGCGGGCGCCCCTCAAAGCTTGACGTTGACGTTGGAAGGGCAGCCTCAAATCTTAGCAGTTAAGTGGGGATTTCGATGAGAATCCATTTACTTTCAGGGTTCCGTTGCGATTCCTTTCCCACCGAACCCACGGGTTGGCGTTCCCGTTGCCTTCCGCCTTCCGTGGTTGCTCCTAAGTTGCCGTTCCTAGGTTGCCGAACCCCCGTGGTTGTGAGTCGTCTTGGCATGCCAAGACGAAGTACCCTCTTTCCACGCAAAGCGCACAGGTCGTGAAAGAATACCTTGACGTCGGGGGAGCAAAAATTATCAAACTTTAGCAGTCGAGTGGTTGAATTTCAACCACTCAACCACAATAAGCAAAAACGTAAAACGTGTCCCAACAACAACCATGCTGCACCTCCCTTGGGCGGCTTTCCTGTTGGTCCCCTCCCAAATTGAACCCAGAAATGGATAGATACACATATATATATATATATATATATATATGTGTGTGTATATATATATATATATATATATGTGTATTTACCCTCAACCGCCCCTGAGGTTTGAACCATTGAAGGTCGTTCGACCTCTTGTAGCTATGGACAAGCGGTGTGTTTCCAAAAGGTCCGGACAGGGCGATTCAGTCACCAGGACCAGCCTGGCAGCCTTGCCGTTGCTTTCAGCTCGAGAAATCGGCGGCTGCCGAACAGAAGTGTATGTATGTGTGTGAAGGGAAAGGTGACCCAAGCTCAAGCCGAGAGGTTGCAAATGGCATGTTCCTTCAAATTGCCTTTCTTCACGGAAAGGCCGACCAACTAATGTTGACCCCATATTCATCAACCCCTGTTTATTAATATGGGAGAGTCCCCCTCCAAAAGTGATAATTCAAACCCAGGGACACACCCCTATTAATAAACTGGGGCTGATTAATCTGGGGTCAACATTAAGATCAAAGAGAGAAGGCGGAGAAAAGATAATGGGGATTCCAATCCAGAGTTTTCTGGATCTAGTTTTTCTACCGACAACCACTGGCAACCGTCAAACGCGAAATGGCCGGTTTTTTTAAAGGGCAGGCCTCAAAAAAGGACTTGCCTAAATCTCAAGAAACAAAAAGGGAAGGGACTAGTTGGGGGCAAGACCAGTTGCATCCACCGGAAAGGGTCAGCTGTTTCATTATCTTTCTGACATGGGCCGAATAGGGTGCCACGCTTTCGGGTGCCCGTCCCGCCGCCCGCCCTGAAGAGGCGGGTCCCGGGGTTCACCGGGAAAGCGGATGGCCTCAGGCGCGAGCTGTAGAGCGAGCCCATGAACTTGGAGACCAACTCCTGGCCAGGGGGCTTTGCGGATGGTTTTTTGTCGGGTTGTGGCATCCCAAAACTGGCTGGGGTGTTGGTGTTATGTTCTGAGGTTGGTTGAAGGGAAACCAAATCCGTGGGGCATATGGCCCTGAAACAAAGAAGGGAAGGTGAAGTGAGTCAATCGCTACAGTCGGCCAGACCGGCCGGGAGAAGAGGGACATGCCAAACGGGAGAACAGGCGCGCCGAGTTGCCACTCGGCTTGCGCTTCTTGCAGCCAAGCTTCGAAGTCTCCATCCAGCTCCTCGTAGCGAGCCTTGGCAGCTTGGGCTGACAGCCTTGGGAAGCTGGGGTCAAATTTGCGATAGCTGCCTGCACAAACCCCCCGGCAGGAAGGCAGTCTTCCAGGGGCCCGTGAAGTGAATCAAGTCCTGCTTGTTGGGGAGGTATTCCCTTCTTTGCCGTCTTACTGGGTGAGGCCAAAGGCTGGATGGCTGGCCGAACGTGCGACCGGCACACCGCGATTTTGCCGGAACTACCAATTGGAACCATGACAACCGGTCAGCGACCTCAAAGAGGAACAGAAGCAAGCCAAGACCCATTTTAAGGGGGGAGCCTTCTCGCAAGAACTCCTTTCGCCGTTTGTCCGCGAGTGAATCAAAAAGTTGAATTCGCCATCTACAGAATCTACACTCGCACTTGTACATCTTTTGGTCAATGTGTACTGTTCCCCTTGGTCACCGAATGTCTCTATGTTTATCAAAATATATGTTGTTGCCTGGGTGGGTTCAGGAAGCTGGCTTTGGAAGCGGATGTTCCGGGTGATACAAGAGCGGGAACTTACCCCAATCACTCGCCGTGGGGCCGCTTTTGCAAGAAGACAAGTGGGAATCGACCAACCCATCCCACCACCAACCCATCCCAAACACAATCAAGAGAAACCACATACTCCTCTTGAGGTGTCGGCAATCCCGGAAAGGCACACACCCTATGCACAAGGGTGTCAGTGTAAAGGTATGTGTCAAAATCGGGCACCCTGAAGATGGCAATGTTCCTAGGAGCTTCCCTGTAAAACCACCGCTTTCTTTCTAGATCATGTCAAACAGCACCAGTTGCTGGTCTTGAGTAAGGTTCCTTCGAGGCTGCGGTGCCGTCTCAAAGGTATCGACTTCACAGAGTGTGTCGCAAGCAAGCCCAACCATGTTTCATAGGAAAGTGTCCGAGACCCCAGGCAAACAAATGGAGTGGGAATTGGGCTAACCCCCTGGTTTCAAGCGCAGGTTCCCAGGGGTTGGCTCACTTTGCATTTTTCCCGAGGAACCGCCAGACCTTATCTCTCCCCTTTGAACATCACCCCACCAAAAAGAAAAACCGGCCAAACAAGAGGTGATGTGTCAACGCCACCCAAAGCCGGAAATCGAATTGGAAACCCGGACCAACCGCCCCGGGATCTTCCTTCCCCATCCGCCTGCGGCGCCAGGAAGTGCCTGGCATGCGCCAGGCCCCCGGAGATGCCGATCCTCGGGCCGGTTCTCAACTTCGCCGACTTCGGATCGGCGTTTGGCCAGCCATGGCCGACACACTGTGCATGGATGGACGAAATCCCTTCGACCGCTTTCATGGTTGAAACCGTCGTTTGTTGGTATTTACGTTGGGGAATCGAATCATTCCAGGGTTAGGTGATGCAGGATTTCGTCCATCAACAGTAGGTGTCCTTTTGGAATATAGATGGGATTGGCAAATGATTAGAACGAAAGGGCACCAGTGCCATCTACTTTCCAACAAACTAACCTAACAAGGCAACCTGTGGCTGCCAATCTGATGATGATTGCACTGCCAAAATGGTTAATGAGGGAGCTTGTCCGATTGGAGTGGAGTTTGTCTGATTGAAAGCGGCATTCTTGTTGCCTCTGACGCCATGACATTTTCGCTGAGATATGAGATGTGCAGGCCGAACGCTTCCCCCCACTGGTCAGCGGGCGGAACTCTAAGAGTCCGTGCGGGTTGCCACGTGGCTTTCCAGAATACAAACGCCAAAGACACTGCTTCAACACGGCAAACCAGCACCAACCAGCAAAAAAGAAACAGCTCAAGTGAACCATATCCCCAGCCCATCTGAGCTGTTGATCCTGCTGTTGGGGAAAACGAAATGTATCCCAGCAGCCCAGAAGAACCTTTGCGCAGCCGGCCCCACCGTCCCAAATCCATTGGTCTTCCGTCGCACTGGAGGCGTGAAGGGTGAATCGGGTGGGCGGGCGGACCAAGCTCCGGGAGGACGAAGTGGTCTCCGAAGTTTTCGAGGAAGTACCTACGGGCCAATGCTCAAGCGTCCCAACCACATGTTTCTTTCGCCCTCTCTTGGATGCTCGAAGAACAAATTGCCGTTGCGCGATTGATTTGAAGTTTGGAACAAAGCCATGAGGTTTCAGAGTCGAAGTGGTTTTGGGAGGGAAACAGGTGCTAATGCGAGTCTTTGCGGGATTTCTGTGTGTTGTCACAGGCTCCTAGGAAAAAGTTCACCAGCGGCACGCCCAAGTTAATAGACATTGACAAACCCGGAAACTGAAAAAACTGATTGGCCCAAGACCAAAAACGGTGGGAAGAAGAAAAAACAAACAAGGTCGCACCGACCTCTGAGGCTGCATCCTCCATTGGTTTACAAGCTTTTTGGCAAGCAAGCCACACCAACAGAACCTCCATCCGTCTCGCCTTGCCGGACTCGACCCACTCTCTTCCGCTGCCCCTCGGAGCCCCGAGATCGGTGCGCCCGCGCGCGGCACACCCGCGCGCGGAGCTCGCTTGCTGTCCCAAGTTCACCTGGAAGGCGAGGCCGCGGGGAACCTCAGCTCGAAGATCGGAGCCTTCGATCGAAAGAAAGCTCTAACCACCCCACCCCTGACGGACACCGGGGGGGAATGAGCTGTGCCTGGTTACCCCCCCCCAACAATCAACATGCTCTGACGTTTGGGGCCTTTTCCTTTTAAAGGGACCCTCTGTCAGCTGCCAAAGCTTTCCCCACCTTTGTCACATGGAGCCTGACGCTTTGGGAGGTCCTTTGCCAAAAAAAAACGAACCCCCTGTCAGGGCCTCGAAAGCGGTTCGAAAAGCCCGCTAGGAAGTCTGCTGGAAAAGAAGAGCTCCCTCTTTGGAATCCTATTGACATGTACCGAAAAGGGACCTTCGAAAGGCGGACCGAGTGTCTTGACGCCAGGCCGACAGTTTGGCACATGCAAAGTCTTTCCGGCTGGCAACCAGACACCTCTGAAAACAGAGGCGAGAGAGGGGAAAAGCCACGGGCGTGTCCTTTGTTGAGGGTACCCCCTTTTTGATGGTTGTTTTTAGGGAAGCCCAGGGAAACCACATATCTTCTTTGGCTTGTTTTTCTGGGGAGGTGGGTTTCAAAACGGCACCCCCAAGCCATTTCTGTCTGGAATCCACGCATCCCATACCCAGCGCACCCGATTTTTTTGTCTGGGCTCGTTGCCACGGCCAGTTCCCATGGCTCAACCTGCACTGCTCAGCTCGCGGAACAGGTGAATCCCGCATTACATGGCTGTGGTTGTCGAAACCACTGGTACCAATTTGGGGTAGGTGAATGCACAACCCATGTTCGTTTATTTTCTGGGGAGTGGGCTGTTCATTGGCGGTACGATTTTGGATTTTGACCCATGGGCACATCTGGTCAAGCGATGGTTCGATGTTTTGGGGCGGGGGAGGGAAGGGGGGGGGGGTGACTCCTATCAATATTGGTCGCAGACCATGGTGAAATGATTTTTTCAGTGTTGTTCATTCTTGGCTGGGAGGGGGAGGTTCGCTGTGCACAAAAGGGACCAGCACAGCCGGCACCTGCAAACACGACATAGTTCCGAGTTCGATGTCGACATCCACCCACACGCCAAACCTACCAGCTTTCTGAGAAACTCTCCCGAAACCAACCAAATCTGGCTGCCATTGGAGGTAAACAAAAAAGAACGGCCATTGCAACTCTCACTTCGGTGAAGCAAGGCCCCGGGCCCAGCCCGGCGTGTTCCCCGTGGGTTTTTTCGCCTTTCCCCTTCGGGCCTTCGGGCCTTCGGGCTCGATTTTCTCGCCAGCTGCTGGGGAGCGAAAGCCCAAAAGGCGAAGAAGAAAAAAACAAAAAAAAACACGGCCTGCAGGTCCCCCAGCTCGGTGCGCAGCTCCAGCACACCCTCCTCAGCTGGACTGGCGACCATGGGTTCCCAAATATCAGTGGGTGCAATAAACCCAGAGAAAAAACAACTCATGGCAATTCCCTTCGCGCGATTTTCGCAGCCCTACCGCTGGAGCAATAAACCTGTGGCAAACCCCCCTTCTTGCGATTTCCGCAGCCCGGATGGACGTTGAAGGTGCTCACTTTCGGGGTTTGCTGGAGGGGTCCCCCAAAAAAAACGCAGGCCTGAAGCCGAAGGTCTGCAAATGCATGGCCCCTTTGCCAAAAAAAACAGCAAATGATACTCTGCTTCCTGTTCGCAGCAGCCAGTTTTCCGTGTTTTGTTCGTTTGGAACAAATTGTTGGGCTTGTCTCCCCTCTCACACGTTCATTCGTGCGGCAAACAGTTGGCCCCGGGTTTCAGCGTTTCTTGTCTTGGTCCCCAAATTCAGTGTGTTCCATTAGGAAAAGCACAACTCCAACAGGGTTACCCTCAAAAAAAGTTGAGCGCCCACTAGCGAATCAACCGCCTGCGGTGCGTGTCCACCCCATCCGTCCTGCGGAAGGATCAGCAAGTCCGCATCTGCCACTCTCAGGAACCGCCGCTTGCTGGACCTGTGGAGCAAAAAACAAAAGAACTCCGCGTGCCCTCTAACTTCTAAGCCTTCGTCTCCTTGTGCACCTTTGGCCGGCGGGGAGGTAAGGATGCGACGCATTATTCGGGGACGCCGACCACTCAGTGGCTGTCTTGGGGGGGGGTTGGGGGGAGTTTGGGGGGGGTTTGGGTGGGGTTTGGGGGGGGTTTGGGTCTAAGGTGCACTCCCTTTCTCCCTTGCCCCCAGAAACAGCACGGGTGACAGCCAAAGCATGGAAAATGCTTTGGTCCTCGGCCGCTCGCCGGCCGAACGCCGAAGCTTCTCGTGTGCCACCAAACTGCCCTGCAAGGCCCTTGAAGGTGCCTATGCCATTCTGGAGAAACCCTCTGTTTGCAACCAAATGCATTCTCAAGCGAAACCTGCAAGCTAAACCCATTCCCTTTCAGGCTCGCATTCGCTCTCGTGTTCACCGGCCAGGTTCTCTCAACAAAATGTTGATGTCATAGCTGCCCCCCAACCCCCCCACTCTTGAGTCCAGCTATCTTAGAAGCAAAACTTGCAAAAATTGCCCTTCTCTTGCCAAAAACTCCCCCCTTTCCGCTCTGGGTCGCCCTTGCATGGACTGAGACATGGCGTAGGCGTTCGCGGCACAGCCGTCCTGGGCACCGAAACGCATGCAACGCCCCAATGACGCCTCTGAGGACACCACCGGAACGCCTCCGGGACACGGGGGGAAGACGGGTTTTTTCTACCTTTAGGCAGTGGCTATGCATCCCAGCCCAGTGAACCTCTGAACCTCTGGCTCAATCATTTTCAAGCAACTGTTCAAAGATCAGCTGAGCATTTGAGAGTTTGGGCTCAAAAGGGATGATGGGTCAACCTCGTTCAAAGCTTCAAATGCAATCACAACTCATGACGGTTGCAACTAAAGACATCAACAGCTGGATAACCAGGGCTCTTGACCTACAACGAGAACAGCAGACTTGGGGCCAGCGAGGAGAATTGGTACCTGCTACGCATTCCGACAGTATGCCATTGGACATCCAGAGGTGGAAAGGGCTGGAAGTTACCAGTGCACAAACTGGAGAGGCGAAGACAAATGGGTGTGGGTCAAGAATAGGTACCCAAAATGGAACCCTGGCAAGTGGAAACAAAGACTAAAACCTGCGGTCCCCTGATGGTCTAATTGTGACCCATACCCAAATGGACACTGGCACAACTCCTGCCGCAGTAACTTGCTGGTTCTTCGGTCCGCCAAGATCATCACAAACCAGCCGCACCCAATTGGACAAAGGAAGCCACGCCCTTTCAGGTCCTGTGCAGCAGGAGAGCCGTTGGCCGCCAAAGTCACGGTGCCGTCCACAAAGTCCCCTGGCAGTGAGACTTCATGGCGGCTTGATGCTCAGGCAGAGCAAAAGGCAAGGGAAAGGAATAGACGTGGCTGCTTCTCAAATAAGGGAACCCAAAGATGGATTGTGTCCTTTGGTTTCCCATTAAACCCGCTTATAGGGGTCCACAATTTTGCTCTTCTAGCTGCCACATTTTGATGGGTTAAGCATGGTGGCTTGTTTCCTTGCTCAAGAAATTCCTTGCCTATTCCTGGACCTGGAATGGATACTTCGATACCTCTGCATGCCAAAGTGTACGATTGCCTGCCCGCATGCGGCAGTCTACTCCGGAAAGTGACCGTTCACGATATTCAGAACTTGCCAAATGCATGTTGAACAGCCCCGGCGGCTGCTTGAGTAGTGGGATCCGCATCTCAAGCTCTGCGCCGAACCTTTGAAAGCTGAGGGCCAAAAGTGTCGCCAGATTTCCTGAATCTGGTCAAAACAGTCAGATCAGCTTCCTCCTAATTGGTGGTTTGGGTTCAGCGCCAAAAGACCTCCCAAAATGCTAAGACTGCTTTGAGCTCCGAGTTCAGAGCCGAGGCCTGTGACACTGAGCATGCTCTGCTTGTGAAGCATCCGGGGTGATCACAGCGCGGGTTTTTTCAGACACGGCGTGGTCAACGGTCAACAGCATTCGTTGGTGTTCTCGCTTGATCGGGGAATTCAGAATGTTGGCGCTATAGTTGTGCATCAAACGAGCCCCTTGACATCCAATCAGAGCATCAGTAGTGTATCGCGCTATTCTGGGGCCCCCTGGCCGGAGGACATGGGAGCCGGCGTAAATCTCAGCTGAACCTCGGAATGAGATAGCATCCAACTATATACTCTGGATTGTTTCCAGTCCACTAGCGGAAACTCATCTCTTCCAGCCCTACCCCCGCTCAAGTGCACGACAAACAAGTGGAGAATACTTTTCTAAGGGGCCACCCTCAGCAACCTGTGCTTCTTCCCATTCAAAACCCTCAAACCCGTGCCGCAGCTACCGCGCGGTTTTGGAGCCGGAGATGCTTCTCCGTCACCAGGATTTTCTCCGGAATGGCCAGAAGGAATCGGAGCTTTGGACACACTTGTGCTTGCACAGGAAAAGCAGAGAGAATCGAACTTCAGTTGCTCTTTAGGCGGCAAGTTCGTGCACTGGGCCCTGGGCCAATGGATGTGCCTTGGGAAAATAGAAAGGGCCCACCTGCTGGTCTGAGCTTGGAGGTGTCCTTGCCAGCTGACCCATTCCAGAATGAAAGTGACAGAAAAACCAAATGGACGTTTATGACTGGCCTTTTAAAAAATACGCAGTGTCCACTTTGCCAGCCACAAGGACGCTCCAGACTTTGCCAAAGCCAGTGTGTCTCGTTTCACATCAATTGCTAGAACTTGGGAAGGGTCTGAATGTTCCGTCGCTTGAACCATCTTGCAAGTTGGGATTCATACCCTGCTTGGCGGGCTCTCTTCCAAACATCAGGACTGCCCCACCCCCAAGTACCGCCGACTGCGGAGCGCACCGGCGGGAAAGGATGCTGGAACGGCGGACTCAGCCACGTTTTATGAGCCTGCCATGTTGAACTGTCATCAACTGCTTTGGCATCAAATCTGCCTTCTGTGCCAAATCCATTACAGGAATGCAGTGGAGGTAACGCAAACATACGATGGCTATCCCGAAGACTCTTTTGAGGAACTGAATTGGGCAAACACCGACGCATGCAAACATGTTCAGACGCAAATGACAACATCCAGCCAGCTCCACCATCAGTTCGTAGTCCGACCCATGGTACGGCGCATGCTGGACCTGGGTCAGCGAAGCTCAGCGTCAGTCAGACATCAGCTCGCATCTCTTCAAGGAGTTGCTGTTCAAGGATCCTTCAGCTTTTAGCTGCAAGTTGCAAAAGGCAACTGTGCCCGCCTGCAATGGTTTCTCCGCCTTGAACCTGCGAGACTGCTCCTTTGAGGATGCTCCGTCTTACGAGTGGTGCCGGAGATGCCAAGGCTGGGGTGTGTACCAAATAGGGGCTGATCAATCTTCCGTTCGGCCAAAAATAACCATGGGTATTTTCCCCATGTGGTGGTTTCCCCCATGGTCTTCCCCCATGGTTTCTTAGTGGTTTCCCATGGTCTTCCCATATTCTTAGTGGTTTCCCCCATAATCCTCCCATGGTCTTCCCGGACCTTTGGTTGTCAACCCCCAAATGAGTGGCTTGCCAACCTGAAGCCTGAGACTTAAACCACCAGGAATTGGACCGCAGGGCCTTGGTCCATGGTTCTCCATGTACCGGGGCAAGCCATTTTGGGTACCATTTGTTGACCCGCTGCCTTTTTTATCGTCCTGTCTCAAAGGAGAAACTGAACTGAGCAGTAGCAGGAGAATGCAAGTCCTCTTATTCATCATGAACTCGAAGCTGCACGCGTCGCCAACATGGAAAGGCACCTAAATACGGCACTGCAATCTCAAGTCCTCCCCTGGCTGAGTTTGGTTGTCACTAGAAAACATACCGCCAAGTTGGCACCCCAGGATTCCGGCGATTCTTGCTGTGGTCCATGGTTGAGTCCTTTCTGGAGTTGGCGCAGCCAACATGTTTCCATGTTTAGATTGTGTCAAAGCCACGCACCTGCAAGCAAAAATGAATTCAAGCTGCACCTCCGGCACAGTCATGCATGTATGGATCCCAAGGCACCACTGCACAAAGATAAAGTCAGGACTGAGTTTGTTCCTATCTAATTCCTCATCTGTGACATTTCCCTTTCTTCACTTTTACAACGTGCAAACGTGTCTCGTCTATAAAGGGCAAGAGCGCAATCCACAACCAACGTACCCCTTTCCCATTGGGGTCTCACCACCAGTCAGAACTTTGGGGGGATTGTCCTTAGAGCCCTTGCCTTTAGGCCCAGGGCCGACCGAGGGTCGACCAGGGCGCTGGGGCGCTGGCAGAGGGCCGGATCCGGTAGAGCCAGCTGTAGCGGTTCTTGGCCCGCGGAACCTGGCCAGGGCCGAGAAAACGACCAGAATTCGAAGGGTAGCTTCCCCAAGTCCAGGAATCCGAATTCTAGAAAACCACCAAAACTTCTGAGAAAAACAGCTGGTTTCCAGAAAAGAACGATGGGTGAAAAGAATGGGGAATCAACCCCTAGAAGATTTGTTGGGTTCAGGTCGAAACAAACTCTGACAATCATTCACATCTCGGAGCTGGTTGCATTGAACTGGTCAGCAAACCTGTACCGCTAAAGTACACGTGGAGCTCCGCTCATTTGAGGGCTGACAACCGATTTTGCTGGGTTCACATCAATTCAATTTATGCCAAAACGGACGGGGCCCGTTTTCCGGACTTACCTCTCCTCTCAGAGTTCAATCCGCCGATTTGGCCGCGGGTCAAAATCCAAGTCGTACCCCCAGTGAACATCCCAAGTCCCCACGGAAAAATAGGTCCTAACATGGGTGGTGCATCCGAAAACCCAACATGTATGATAGATCCCAAAACGGTCTTGACCACTTGCCATTGGTCCGTTTGGCGGCGTGGCCACCAGGAAGACGACTTCGCCAACTTCGCAGGCGGAGCCGTGAAAGCGGAGCCGGAGACCAGCTCCGGGTAGAGACCTGGACAGGACAGCAAAGGGATCTGACGAGCGCAGTATGAGACTGACTGGCTTGGTTTCTTGGTTTGTTTTGGAGGAAGAAAAATGACGGGGTTTTGTGTAAAAAAACCCGACGTTTAGAAGAATAGCAACCAATGCCACATTGAGGATTTCCCACATGCAACTTTGAGGATTTCCAGCTGACCCACAGTCCTTTGCCATCCCTGGCCACAATCCAACGTTTTCTCGCAAGGCTGGGCCAGCAGGCCGTAGGACGGATGTTGAGGCGAGTTCTGCCTGGCAAGCGCATGGCAAGCGAATTTGCCCGTCGCCAGAACATACCCTCCCTTCTAACATGGCACCTGTTGGAGTATACCTGGAAGATCATCTTCCTCTTGTAGGGACCCCCTGGGTGCCATGATAGTGGGAGGGAGGGTACTCGAGGCTGCTCCCGGTTTAAACTTGAAGGCATCGCGCCGCGTCAACCGGTTTAACCGTCTTTCATCCACAAGGCCGCTAAGTCATGTTGCAGGTCACCCACCCGTCCAAAGACGAATTCGGTGGTTGGCCATTTCAGCTGGAAAAAGACATGCAGAACGGTAAACAGGTGAGGCCAAAGTTCCAGCCCAGACTACACAGAAAATGAGCCCTTCCAAGCTAAGACTTTACAGGCACCAGAACGAGGCAGACCCATTTTGGTGAAAGGACCGATTGTGGATTAAAAACATAGAATCAAATAGTTACTTTTAAAAAAAAAAGAACTATATATATATATATTGCTTTGAATAAAATACCAAATGTCGCCCGGGAACGAACCAGAACCCACGAACGGACCTCCGCGGCAAGGCTCCAGGCAAGGCCTGGCGACGTGAGCATTTCTCATGCATGGACCCTGGCCACAGGAATGGCTCTCAGGAGCTTTCTTGCTAGGAACTGCTGGAAGCGTTGTGTGTGTGTGTGTGTTGCTTGGCTTTCGCCGCCGCCTTTCGTAGTTCAAGACAAATTTTCACAGGTGAATGTAGGCCATCGCGTTGCCAAGGCTAGGGTCAAGACCTGAAATGAGTTCCGGGTGTGCTCTGCCCTTCGATTGTGTAAAGGAGCTCTCTGGATTCCTCGGCCTACATCCAATCCTTCGGCTCGGGCTCTCGGGTTCCAGAAAGCCGCCTTCGCACTTCCGGCGGCTGATTTGTTCTACAGCGCTGCGTTCGCCAAATCTCCCACTCTTACAGAGAGAAAACAGCAAAGAAGGAAAAAGGCCAGTACAGAAGAGCCGCAAAAAAATACTGCCCTTCTTGAAAAACGAGAAAAAAATCAACCGCATCCGGCCTCAGCCACCCGCTTGCGCCCCCCCAGCGTCTTTCCGACAGGAGCCCCCCGCGCCTCGGAGTGGAACATACCGCCGAAGCTTCCGTGCCTGAGAGCTCTCTCTCTCTCGGCAAGCTCCACCGGGCATTCTGATCCCCGAAATGTGACTGACTGGTGGGTGAAATTCGGAAATCCGTAACCAAACCAACTAAGCCAAAAATTGCTCTCAGGAACCGGATGGCTTTTTGGAGCCACCAAGTTTTGAGGGTCACTGTGGAGAGAAACACCCTCTCTGGGTTGATGAATCCGGAGTCGACGTGATTGAGCTGAAGCCGGCGGGCCTCAACTCACCTGGTCATTCGATGCTCTCCAACGGCTCATGGCCATCCATCCACTTGGGGGAAGTCAAAGTCATGTGGGCGGCTGTGCTGTGATAAGCACAATGGCGTACCCTTGTGAGGCCAGGGTGAACGAACCAAGCCTCAACTGCAAACCATGTCTGCACATCTGCTCGCTCAGCAGTCGAATAGATGCAGTACCAAGTTATCCACTGCTACCTGCGTGTTGCAAGCAAATCCAATACCCAAATTTCAGGCATTTGGGCATTCACCTTGCTTCATGGCGATGATAGCCACTTGTGGATCTGCTTGGGATTCAAACACTCATGATGTCAAACAGCCCGACTGTGACTCTGGGAATCTCATGGAGTAAGGCTCCCGGAACCCGTACAGGTACCGATTCAGGTGGATACCATTTCCCAAAAAAAGACAGGGGCCCTTTTCCTCAATGCGGACCAATTGCGAGAACTCGTCAGTTTGACAACCTGTTCAGAGCCAAAACCTTTGCTGACTGGATCCATTGCAGTGATAAAATGTGACTCCAAAAGGTGATTTACAGAAACTAGCCGCGAATGTAATTATGAGACCCCCTTAAGATCTTCACGTGCGACCTCCTGATGGGTTCCCCCGCAGCACATCGCGTTCACCGCGGCGTGCCAGACTTCGCCACCTACGCCGCGTGAACGGAGCCAAAAGGCGAGCTTGTCATCATTGCAATGTTGTCTTTGTTGACTCAATTTGTTCAAGTGTGGGCAACTGATGGTATGATAAAATGATATGAAATGGCGCCTTTCCTCGCACATTCCGTTCTGTAGATATCAACATTCTGGAAAACGACATATGTCAAGGACGTGTTATGACATGCTAAGCCTCATGCGCAAACCCTGTGTAACTTGTGGCGCTTATTGTGTTCATTGTGCCAAGCATGGATGCTTGGCAAATGATTTTGCTCATTTGCAAAAGGCTGAGTCACCAAGGCTCGGGCATTGCGGAGCAGGAAGTTCCCGCGTTGCGACAAGAAGTTGTTGGACATAAACGTGTCGTGTGCTTGCTCCATCGGTCTGTGCCAGGCATGGAACCTCGCTTTTTTTTAAAAGCAATGCTGCGTTGGGGGCCTGGTGATGTACATCTGTGCCGAAGCCCATCTGCCTTGTATGCAAGTCCCTCTGTATCCAAGGTCGCGTCGACGAGCCGCTGATCCATTTGCACAAACATGGCCCTTGTGACCTTGTAAACATCAACTCAGGCTCACTTGAGATCAAAAGGCACAGAAATCACTGGCAGCCACTTTCACCAAAACGAAAAGGTCAGAAGGTCGGGCTACTTTAAAGTGAGTTCGACTTCTCGTGCCCATGCCAAACAAACAAACAAACAAAAAATGCACACGAAACATTGATCCTTGTCATGACAGAACTGCTAAGGAGGAATGATACAGGCCCGCTACACACAATTCAGAAATTGCCTGGTGAACAAGCATGAACCTGAACAGGGGGTCTTTGGGACAAGTACCAAAACCTTTTCAATCAAACTAAAGAACAAAGCGCATTTTTTCATTTGAGCGACAAACAAGTTTCCGGTCGCAGCGCTGGAAACGGCGAAAACGCTGTTCAAAAACGGTCTAGCGTGACTTCCGCAAACAAAGCGGAAAAGCGCCCAGCAGACCTGCAAGCAACAACCCAAAAGTAGAAGCCAGCTCAGCTGACAACACCAAACCTGGTAACAGTTGCCCTCAAAGGCGGCCCAAGCACAAGTCGCCAATTTGACTCTGCGATGCGAACGGCGTGAGGTATAGTTCTCGCTGAAACAGCCAGGCCAAGCGCTCTCAAAAAGTTTTCGTTGCATGACCACAAGCAGGTCTTCGACGAAAAATCGCACCAGTACGCCAGTGAGCGTGGTCACTTCACCTCCGCAACTCTTGTCGTTCGCTCAAACAAACTTGTCTAGGACAGGCTCTGAGAAGATTCAGGCACGGTTATTAGCACCTTAAACCACTGCTCCGCAGTGATCTGCAATTGCAAACTTGCAACAAACTTGTCGCATAGGTGGGCAAGCTGAAAACTTGCCACGCTGGAAAACTTCGACTGCAGTGTGACATGGTGCGCAGGCCAGGTTAAGACGCAAAAATCCCGCAAGTTGTGAAACTCCGTAAGATGGTTCTTCTTTGGAACGCAAGGCATTCACAAGCAAGCACGGAACGCTCGTTGTATTAAGGTTCATCCGGAAGCGGTCGAGAGAACGCGCAGCTGCGTTCGAGCTTCCGCACCCACTGCCAAAACACACGAATCACAAAGAAGAGGCAAAGCTCTCGCGCAATGCTGTTTGGCTTCAAGGTCCTCCGCGTGCGACTGCGGGCGATTCAAGCCCTTGTGCAGACACAGCTATGGGAAAGGCCTGTTATGACCACACGATTTTGCCGCAGTAGTTGCTTGCCATGTTGCACCACAGGCTTATGCAATTTGCTCTAAAGTGGAAGGAGCAAAGTGGAATGCCTGGATCTTGTCCAGGGCTGTCAAAAACGAACAAGCCAATCCTTCTCAAGTTGTTTCTTTGACTTTGACAAATCACAAGCCAATCTGAGGCGTCCCACAACCCAAACTGGTAAGCAGACTGCGCTCTGCTCTTTGATGCTCAGCGCAACAAAGGCTAAAGGGGGCTTATAGTGATCAAGTAAATTGCTTCAACAAGGCACAAGCGGGAACTTTTTTGCCAAACTCTCGCCTCGCGTCAAATTCATCGCCTGTTCTCGGGGTTCAGCGGGCTGGAAAAAGGCACAGAAGGACCCATTTCGGCAACTTCGTCGCTTCCACTTGACGCAGCCTGGAATCAAGCCCGCCTGTAGACCAGAGGTCCGCATAGCACGTCAGAGGCGTCTTGTACGCAGGGGGTGATTCTTCTCCCGATCAAGCGAAAAGTGGCCGGTGCAGCAAAAGCAGGTGCGCTCGGAGCCCGTGCCCTTGGGGCGCGCTGCTGGAGGATGTCAAAACTCCAACACACGCAAACACGAAACACCTCCACCCGAGCTCGAAGACGTAAGCCACGGGGCGTCCGTCGGCAAGTCGAAGCCAGCCCCGTCCGAGAGCGGGTCGCCAGCCGGCGGGGGCGCGCCGGCTCAGGTGGAAGAAGGACGCAGCCGACTTCGAGTTTTTCCGCTCCTGGACCTTGCGCATATTCCACTCTGGAAACTTGCCAGCGAGCCCATCGGCTATCAATCGCCCGCTGTTGGCGGACAGCTCGCAAGCGGATATTTTTGCAGTAAAAAGAAACCCACATAGCTAAAGAGATCTGATTGCCGTCTGCAAGGCCATGGCATTGGAGCGCGGGGCCTTTCTCAAGACTTGCGCCGCCTTCGAGAGGAGCTTGCACGAAGAGGAACACTTTCGGGAGGCTCCACGCGCAAATCCGCGTTTGGCCACAGCCGTCCCGTGGGCAGATTTGTCCCGGGCTGCTGGAGGTCAATTGATTTGATAGAATCCTGTTCACTGCTTCAAGCCAAGAGGGGACAGGCAATAAAAAGGGGAACCCAAAACCCGACCGACCCAATCGCTCTGCCCCTTTTTATTAGGCGTTGCTTAGAAGTCCAGGCTCGAGGATGCAGGGGGGACGACAATGCGTGTCTATCCTTTTTGACCCGCATCCTCATGCGGAACCTGCACAAATACCCTTCAAGGTTAACAACGCGTTCAACCTGTTCACAGGGTCTGTTACCCAGGGGTGTGAAACATGACTGGAGGCGTTGTGACGCGCCGGAGGCGACGCGTGCTTCTCTTCGGGGCGGGACCAGTGCTGGTCCTGCTGTGCGGCGTTTACACGAAGCAACGCGTGCTCTCGTGTAAGAGGCCGAGGAACAGCGGGATAGAGAGGCAGTTGCTTGTAAGCAGATTTGAGATCCAATCGCACCAACGCGAAGCGACCAGTCTGTCCTGCTCCAAAAACCTGAAATCGGGCCTGAAAGGGTCACACCCTCTGAAAGCGGGTACTCGAAAGAGGACATATGATTGAAATGTCGGACTAGAACGACGCTCGCCCAAAGCAACTCATCCAAAGTTCTCAGCTCCCCCGCGCGCGCTGATGGGTGGGTAGGCCCGAATCGCAAATGCAACGCAAGGTTCGAAGTTCGAAGTTCACAGGTCACAGATTCAAATCGTGTGGTCTCCCCATACAGAGTCCCGGCAGACGGCCCACGGTTGACCACACCGTGTCCCGTCAGCGCGCGGGAGTTTACCCCCGCGCACGCTGATGGGTGGGTAGGCCCGAATCGCGAACGCAAGGCTCGAAGTTCACAGATTCAAATCGTTGGTCTCCAAGTTGCACTCAAAGCTCACCGAAAAAATGCAAATCCGAATCTTTCTCAGCTCGCAAATCGCCAGCGCCAGAGCTCGCAGCAACATCTACGGCGGGCTCAAAAAAGGCAAAATCGAACAGGCCACACAACATTCCCAGCCCCAGCATCACCAGACTCAGCCGCAACATCCTCAGCATCAACTGCAAAGCCATTGAGGGCTTATCTGACGCCAATTCCAGCGTTCAAAAAAAAGGGGCCCTTACTGTTTGGGACTTTTTGGGCCCTATGGAAACCGTGCAACATCCCCACATCTGTCAGAACGAAGGATCTGGCACAGCAAGACTCCTACAGTACACACCGGAGCTGGAGTTGGACCCCGCCCGACGCAAAACCCCTGTTTAGGGCCGTTGTTAGGACCCCCAGCCGCTCCAACATCAAACTTCCCTCCTCTTCAAAGCTTGGAGAAAGCAGACCACCCTTCGCGCATGGCCTTGAAGGAAGCCGTGGAAGACCATCATCCTTATCCTGCCTTGACATGTAACATGAATCCTTAGCCTGCAACAGACAACTTTCCGTCGTGTCTCATGCAGCGTCGCAGTTCTGAATGCCGCCTGGCGTTTGCATAATGTCGCCAGACCACACCCGAAAAGCATCCGGGTGAGCGAAAGTACAGCAAGAGTAGCAAGGCCGAAAAAGCCGCCAAAACAGCTGCTGAACTCGTCACCGAAGATGTCACCAGCGGTGACAAAGGGTGACAAGCTCGTGTCAGGACCTGTTTTCGTCCAAAATCGCGCAAATCGAGAGGCATATGCCCCTTACTTGCCGTCTGACCGAACAGAACGAGGTTTTCAGGAATTCGGGAAGTTGGCCGTTTTTCGGCCCAAAAGGTAGCGGTGACATAGCATGTCACCGCTATGTCACCGCTACCTTTTGGGCCGAAAAAGTGCCCAAAACGGCCAACTTCCCGACTTCCCGAAGACCTCGCTCTTCAGCAAATTTTCCGTTTTCGGCCAAGCACAGGACCTGACACGGCAACCTGCCGAGCTCGTCACCCCTGACACGCCAATCTGCCGAGCTTGTCACCGCTTTTGTCACCGCCTCTAACACGCCAACCTGCCGAACGTCCTAAAACGTGCGTTCCAAAGCTCAAAATCTTGGCAATATTGAATCAATATTGGGCAATATCGAAACAACATTGGTACCTTTGCCCGGTGACACGGTAGCCTCCCAAGCTTGTCACCCCTTGTCACCGTTTGTCACCGTTTGTCACCGTTTGTCACCGTCGGGTTTTGAGCTGCAAATATCCGGGATTCGAGCCCCAGACCAGGGTGCTGCAGAGACGGTGCTTAACCACGAGCTTCTTTTGGGGTGGAAAAAGCAGCCTGCGAAGCTTGTCACCCTTGTCACCGGTATGTCACCGCGCTTTTGGGTGGAAAAGCAGCTTGTCACGTCACCGCTGGGATTCGAGCCCCGGAATGCTGCAAATCGCAGAGACCGGGCTTGCCCACTGAGCCAATGGATCTTTTGGACAGGGGAGCTGGCTGCTTTTGGGTGCCAGGACCAGCCTGCCAAGCTTGTCACCGCTTGTCACCGGCATGTCATGTGGAAAAAGCAGCCCGCCGAGCTTGTCACCCCTTGTCACCGGTATGTCACCGCCGGGATTCACCCCGTGACACAAGCTATCTTCCAAGCTGGGGCAGATCTTACCCCTGAGGCACCGAGTCGGAATTCCTATTCCGACTTCGCTCTCCCACTCCGACTTCGCTCCAAACCCTAATGCGGGCCTAATGCCTAATGCGGGCCTAATGCGGGCCACTGCCGGGCCATCGCCGTGTGCCAAGTGTGTGCTTTTGCCGTCCGTCAACGATACGGCAAGAACCATATCGCTGACGGAGCTTGTTTCAGCTAAAAAAAAACTAATGCGGGGCGGGCCAAATGCGGGCCACTGCCGGGCCACTGCCGGACTGGATTTGCGTTCGAGCATGTGTCAGAAACTAACACCAGCTCCAAATCTCTCCGTCAATCCCGGGGCACTTGTGCGTCGAATGCGCTCCGAACGCGTTTTTTCTTCCGGAACACGTATCGCGAGTGCGATACCAGCTCCGGACTTCCAGAGCAACCAAAAACGTGTCCGCCAATCCTGCGCTGGGCACAGGATTGCTGCAGGGAAGGACCTGGCCACGCGCGTGGCCCGCAAGGGCGGGCAGTGCCGAGGACGTGGAGAAGCAGCCGGCGCCGACAAGTTCCAGCACAACAAGGACCTCACGGAAGGGCGCATCAAGGCCGTGGAGGACGCAGGCTTTCCGAGCGCCCACGAACGCGGCGAGGAGCTTCAACCCGCAGCACGGCAACGTGCAGCGGCTGCAGGCCGTGGACTCCATGACCGTCCGGAGCACCGAGGGCCACGAGACCCTGCTGGCCCTGCTGAAGCTGGCCCTGCCGGCGCCGCAGGGCAGCGGCAACGCCGCGGGCCGGCTGACGAGGCGCGGCAGGCCCGAGGCAGCTGGACGACTTCCTGGGCAGCCCAGGCGGCCCAGAAGCGATTCGGGCCGCTGACCTTCTTGAGCAGACTTGACGGAAGCAACATGCCTTAGCTTGTGGAAAGTTTAGCCCAAACACGACTTTGCGAATCTCGACCTTAGAGCGATCCCTGGACCCCGCCAAAACGGCCATTCAGTTTGTGGATGCAAGCCTGACACCCATGGAACATGTGAAGCCTCTTGTGACCTTAAGTCCGCCCTGCTCCCACCTGCTAGCGCGATTTTGTACACTCACAAAAGTTTCAGCACGTCCAGCTGCGCAATGATAGTCTCGCAACTCATGAGAGAGTATTTCTTCTCCTCCTGACGTCTGGCCCATGTCTTGTTTGTAAAGGACTGCCAGCCTTCAGACTCACTGCAAATCTGCTGCATGTCCTCAAAGTTGTCCTTCTTCGCCTTGCCCTGCAACTTCAGGCCGCCTGCATCCTTTTTCTCTCCATAACGACATTGCGCTGCAATGAACTCGAGCTTACCAGTTGCCTTGCATCTCACAGGGATCAAAAGATCGTGGTGAGCCGTTGCAAAACTCCGGTTGGACTTGATGGCCTTCCCAACGTCACTCATGACAGTTGCTTCATTGCCTTGGCCGCTTGGATATTCCACACCATCACTCCAGCAAACTTTGAACGGCTCCAAAACAGTTCGCAAATGTGGATCCTCCGTAGGGTAGATCTCCAAAAAAGGGACCCAGGTGACTTCAGCACTCAGGTTTCTTGCTACGCAGTGAAGGCGGAACCGCACTGCCAGGGAATTTGCAACCAGCTCTTCCCACTTCTCCCCCCTTTCAGTGGCACCCCTTTTTGGGCTGTTGAGCAACTGCAAGGAATCTGGCAGGAGCCCCTCCAGGTCAATGTTCAGCTGTTTCAAATCGTTTCGGATGGCGTCTTTGATATTGGTACTCTCACCACCACAGCCGTGGAACCAGTACGGACTTGTTGTTTGGAAATGCTGCTCCTGCCCTGAAGATGTCTGACCACCTCAGTAAGGTTCCGGGCACAAGCTGGTGGCCTTCTGCAGGCCATCGAACCGCCGAGCAAAGAACCAACGCCAAAGCCACTTCTGGCTGATTGAAGTAGGGGGCTGCATCCGCAAACGAGCTTCTGAACTCCTGCCACATGGCATTGAGTGCAACCTGAGCAGTTGATGCCAACTCACCCCAGGTCTGGAAAGCCGCCTCCAGAAGCCGGCATACCCCAGCCGAGAAGAGGGGAATGTTGTCGAATTCCTCCTTCTTGTACTGCGTGCCTCCCCACTCTGCCATGGCCCGTCTGGCGGCTTGCAGTGACAACGGCGGTAGAGCCAGTACTTCCTGGACCTTAAGCACGGTGTAATCCTCCGATGGCCTATCGATCAAGATATTCACCGTGCCTGCCAAAAACATGCCCATCTTCTGCGAGAACTTGCTGAATATCTCGGTGAAAGCTGACTTCTGTCCACCCGACTGGCTCCGTCCCTCCACCTGTTCTTTCACAAGCAGCTCGGCCTGATCAAGGAAAATCAAACAAGCGCAGTCCGTCACCAACAGCCACTGCTCGAAGACATCCTCCCTGTGTCGACAAGATGAGCGAAGCCAAACTTCAAAGCTGTTGCGCCCCTCATTTGGTGCCGATGCACGCTTGAGGGCCTCCAGCACTGCAATCAACTCCACTCGCTGAAAACTCACCACCCGCCCACTCACTTCGATGCTGTAGCCGTGCAACAACTGTGACAGGTGCCACACGACGATAGCAGAAGCAATCCTACTGGGAGCTTCCTGCAATGCTTACCCTGCAATCTCTCCAGCATCAAGAACCAAAAGCCGTCCACATCTTCGGCTTGCTGCAAAGCTCGGGTCCTTCCGAGTGTCGGATGAGCGATGTCTTGCCCGTTCCCCGCGGGCTCCACAAGGTCACCACAGTCGGCTTGTTGGTCCCGTTCCTTTGGATCTTTTCTAGTTGCTTCACAACACTCTCAACAACCGCCTCCCTTTCCAGAAACGGCCTCTGGTTGAGCTCACTGCATCAAAGGCAATATTCACAGAATGCACTTTTGCCTTCAGCAGCAAGGACCCCAATGGGTGCAAAGACATCAGAGTTTGCCTTCCCTCTCCCCGACGGCAGAAGGGCGGGTCTTGCTCTTCAAAAAACAGGCTGGGGGCAATTACAGAGAAGAAGAAGAAGAAGAAGAAGAAGAAGAAGAAGAAGAGGAAGAAGAAGCAACAGAAGAAGAAGAAGAAGAAGAAACAGAAGCAGGAGCAGGAGCAGCTACAAACGCAACACAATGCATGAACGATTCGCCTTTCATGGCAGGGTGGCATGAGCGAGAATCAAGGACCTATGCTGCAACAACTACCAACATTCAGGCAGACAGAGATTAAACCAGCACACAAGCTGCTACTACCAGTCAACCTCAACCCATCCCGACTCGCTTTTTTGACATCTTCAACAGCGTGCACCTGGCTCTCACCTTGGTCTGGACAGAGTGAAATTCCTCAAAGCCGCCAATAGCAAGCCTGTTTGGCTCGGCAAGCAATTAAATAATAGTTCCTCATAGTCAGCTCTATTTCTCGAAGTGAAATGCGCATTCGCATTGCGCAACATCTCTAAGTATGTGCACCACCTCATGTCCAACCGACACGGTTTGTTTTGCTTTGTTCTGTTCAACTGACGCTCTCGTATGCTGACGTTTACACCGCTATTCGACCAATTCAGCAGTTGTTGAAAATATGGCTCCCCTTCCTCTGGATGCCAGCCATGTTGCCTCCCATGCCTCCTGCAAATGCTCTCCACGCGCCAGCGTAGCTTTTTCTGGTCGCCGCTCAGTGGGCTGTTTGCCGAAGGGAACCATCGCCGCAGCGTGCCTTTCACAAGCTCACCAACCCGCGCAAGTTGCTGCAGTCTTTGCTCGTTCTGGCACCATTGCAGAACCGGAAAATTGCTTTGGTTCAGCAGTGTCCCGCTCGCATCTAGGCAGTATGCTACGCAAACAGTCCACGGGTTGCTTGCAAAGGAAAACTTGCCGTCTGCCTCATAAATATATGGCTTGAAGAAGCAGTCGTACACGGTCTCATCAAAAAAGTCTGCTGGGTCAGAGGTTGCCTGACCAATGGCCAAGTCTCGGATGTACTGCAAACGTTGTGGATTGGACCAACTTGGGTCCCCCAGCAAAGGGGTCATCTCCGTCACAAACTCATCTCTCAACTTCATGTTTACTCGTTTTTGCGTGTCAATCTTGGACTGTTCGTCCTTCCACACTGCTGCTGTGTATGCCATCAATGGCACAGATCGGATCTCGCCAAGCAAGTCTGTCAGTTCATCTTTTTCGGTGTCATCGACTGCAGTGGCCAGGAATTTCTGTCGGGCATAGTCCAGCTCATGGACGGGGTTTTGCCACGGGAGGGAAACCCTGCGACAAGCACCAGCAAATGTAAATCCATTGGGAGTCATCCTGACAAAGTGTTGCCACGCTAGGGCCATGTCTGAACCAGTGATGGCAAAGTGCAGGTTGGAGTCTTCCCTGTTGACTCGGAGGAATCCCTTGAGAATGTCCCATGTTGGGATAATTCCTTCCTGAACCTGGAAGAATCTCTGAACTTCGTCAATGAGGAAAAAAACTGTACGCCCAGACCTGTCCAAGTTGTCCATCAACTCATCCAAGTGCAACATGTCACCTGGGCCCACATGGAACCCAGCGCTTGTTGCCCAAGCTGCAACTCTCTTCAGCAATCCCTCCTCCATTGCTCCAGGCTCGAAGCCCGCATTGAGAAAAGAGGAAAAGTCCAGGAAGCAAATCTCGGCATTTGGAAACTTTGTCAAGATGATCTGTGGCAGAAGGTGAGTCAACACGGTAGTTTTTCCCAACTTTACCATGCCATTGATGGCGCAGATGCCTCGTTGCGAAGAGACACGGTCCTCCACCCACGCAGTCAACCGCTGCATCAGTTCGCTGGACACAATGGCAAATCTAGTCGAATCTTTGAAATCGCAGACCAGCAGCTTCTGGCCGTCAATGTGCTTCTCTCTCAGGTCATACTTGGGGGCGAGGTATCGTTGCAAGCGGCTTGTGCCCTGCAGAAAAGGGGCAAGAAAACACAAGCGCGACTGGAACAGAAGCAGGCTCTTCAATAATTGCGGGGTTCCCCCTCAACTGTTTGATGGTTTCGCGCGCCACTAACCACTCACTACAAAGCAGGCCCACCTGCGGAGGCTCGAACACTAGAAGGGGATGGCAGGACAACGGGCCAAACCATCGAACAAGAACTCTGCCCGTGGATGCAAAGCCGGGAATGTATGGTTGAGCTCACTGCATCAAAGAGAACATTCACACAATGCACTTGTGCCTTCAGCAGCCAGGACCCCAATGGGTGCAGAGACATAAAGACATCAGAGTTTGCCTTCCCTCCCCCCGACGGCAGAAGGGCAGGTCTTGCTCTTTGAAAAGCAGGCTGAAGGCAATTACAAAATCACTCACAACGATCAACGGCACGGGAATGACCGACCTCCCCCAATGGCAAGGAAAGGCAACCATCCGTTCATGGGGGCTCCATACCGAGCCTGCCAACGACACGAACCGCCGCAATCTGCAAAAATGCTATCTTGGGATTTCCTGGTTCTCTGGATGCGATCAGGGCAGCCCCACCAAAACCATGTGCGGGCCGCCGGGGAATTTCAGAACCGCACGCAACGATCAGAGTCCCAGAACGCAGCCGGCCGGCGGAAGCGACCGACTCCGCCCGCCTCGGACTCCTTCGTCCGGCCGCTTGCCTTCGCCTCCTTGACCTCCTTCTTCGCCCTCTCCACCTCCTTCTTCGCCTCCTGAACCTCCTTCTTCGCCTCCTGGACCTCCTTCTTCGCCTCCTGGACCTCCTTCTTCGCCCTCTCCACCTTCCTCTCCGCCGACTGCACCTTTTTCGCATCGCCCGATTCCTCCGCCCGAGCGAGACGCCTCACCGCCATTGCTTCCTGCTCCTGGGCTGTCGCGACCTGCGCCTGGGCCGTCTCTTGCTGCGCCAGAGCAAATTGCAGCGCCAGGAGCAGGTCCTGCCCAGCAAGACTCACACGCCGAAGCAGCGCGCACAAACAGACGGCCTTCTCCAATGCCCTTTTGGCTGCTTTGGCGGAAAAAGAAAATGCCGCGAAATGTGGATCTCACCTTTAGGCAAAGGAAGCAAACAGCCCTGCCTCTTCCACGAACTCGGCCCGCATTCTCTGGTCTGCCGCCTCCTCGAGATCGCGCCGGTCCTGACAACCAACAAGCCCAACGTTCAAGCCCGATGCACGTGTCCCCCAGGCCTGGCCACTGTTGTCCTGGCGGCAACCGGCAAAAGATGCGAACAGGCTTCGGGTCGGAGGAGTCCTCTTGCGCAGCCCCGGCGCGCCGAGCGACTCCGGCATGCAACGGGTGCCGTTTTGCCTGAAAGAGCCAAAGTGCAATCTGCTTGCGCCTGCGGGCAACTCTGAGAACTGGGCCAATATGCTGTCCTGGCACTCAGCACGAAACAAGAACATCCAAAGGAGGGACTTCATGCTCCTTCAGCCCAGGAACTCCTCGAGCAAAGTCCTGGGCGGCGGCGACAAGGGACTCCTGAAACCCGAAAACCTTCGAAAAAAATGTGTCCCAAGACCCAGGCCGTGCTCGGCTGCACGAGCAGCGCCAATGCAATCCCGAGAAGGCAGAGGCACATACCTGGCCGCTGCCTACCGCGGGCACGGTAGCGTCACAAGCTTGCCAGCCTCGGCTTTTGGTCCTGGTCCGCATCATCGCCATGGCTATTCGAAAAGCGCTTGAGCGGCCTGCGATTCCTCAAGCACTGGCACTAGACCCATCGGGCAACCATTGCGAGCTGTTGTTGTGTCAGTGTTGATGAGTACCCTCGAGCCAAGTTTCCAGAGCAAACACAAGATTGACTGGCTTCTTTGGCAACACCAACGCACGGGTTTGGATGCTCCTCCTCCTTTTCACTCGCGGCCTGAAGGTCGGTCGGGCCAAGCCTTGCAAGGCTTCGCGCCGTCCATCCGTCAACTGGCTGACCCACATCCTGCCGCTGCATCAAAGTCCAAGCGAGATACCAAACTGGCCTGCCTGCAAAACAAGCAGCCGAAATCGGCACTGGGCCGCCAGGGGCTGAAGGGCGGGGGTTTCTGGGGTCCCTGGGGATCACTGGGGCCTCTGGGGTCCCTGGGTCCCTGGGGTCCCTAGAGTCCTTGGGGTCCCTGCACACGTGTGCATCAGACGTCTCGCCAAGGCCCCAGAGTGCGCTCATCCCTGTCAACGCACGGCGGGTTCAGGGACCTTAGGGACCTTAGGGACCTTAGGGACCTTAGGGACCTTAGGGACCTTAGGGACCTTAGGGACCTTAGGGACCCTAGCAACCCTAGGGACCCTAGGGATTGCGAGGACTTCAGGGACCCAGCGACCCAGGGACTTCAAGAGATCCTTGGTGGCCCCAAGGATTTTGGGGCTTGAAGGGATCTTGGCAAGAACTTCACGCCGGGTACCACTCAGCCTGGGCATTCTCCAGCATCATAGGGTCATGCAAAAACACAAAATGCCGAAGCCAAGACACACACACACACACATTGCAAATGGGCCACAACACCACAACATCATCTCCCAACTACAAACACGGATGTAGAAAACACCATGTAGAGCCATACCAACATAAAGGCACAAAGACATATATAAAGATATACAGATATAAAGAGAAATGTATAAAGATATAAAGGTATAAAGATATGAACTTGTAGAAATACAAAGATACACATATATGAAAATTAATAAAGACATACAAATACGTAGAGATATGAAGATACACATGTGTGAAAATAAATAGATATGAGTACACGAAGATAAATAGATGTATGTAAAGTTGCTCAAATGGAAAAAAAACAGAAGCTTTGCCCTTCCGCGCGTCTTTGTGTCCCCTTGTGTGGCAAGCTGCAACCAACCGAAGCTTGAGAGATGACTTCACACTTCACAGGATCTCTTGCCCCCAAGACCCAGGGTCCCTGGGCTCCTAAGGTCCCTGAAGTCCCTAAGATTCCGCAAGGTTTCTGGGGTTTGTCCGTAAGGTTTCTGGGCCCCTAAAATCCCTGAAAACGCCGTGTGTTGACAAGCGGGACCCCAGAAAATCCAGGGACCCTCTCAGAAAATCTAAGGATTCCAGAGGCTTACTGGGTCAAAGATCAAGGGGCTGAACCTCTCTCTTTAGAGGAGGTTTCCCAAATGGATTCTATTCCACCTGGTAGGCTCCTGACAGGTGGCTTTGAGCTCAGTGCAGTTCACGTCGTTGCACAGCAGCTGGTCGCCCACGTTGCCCTGCGCGGTGAGCCCGTCCAGCGTGGCCAAGCCCGTGAGGGCCAGCAAGTCGGCCAGCAGGTCCGTCACGGACCGACTCTCCCTCGAAGGCGCTGGCACCAAGTACTCGTCCGTCCAGGAAACGACCTTGTCCTGCGAAGGATTCGAAATCTAAAATGCTGCGTGCAGGCGTGTGGCTGCAACATAACGGCCCCTAGATATGCTTGCAACTTGCCTCGTAGCTGCGTTTCTGCAAGGAAAGCTAAAAAAACTAGACCACGGTTGGCCCGAAAGCAGGACATCGCAAGCGAGGTCGGCCCAACCCTGCAGGATGCGTTCTTTTTCCCTACACGAAGCATTCCTGAAGCAAGCGCGAGACAGCACCAGGCAAGGTGCTCTGCGCAAACTGGTCGGTGCAAGTTGGTCTGCGCAAGTTGCTCTACTCAAGTTGCACTGTGCAAGTTGCTCTGCGCAAGTTGCTCCGCGCAAGTTGCTCCGGCAAGTTGGTCCCTGCAAGTGGCTCCCTGCAAGTTGCTCTGTGCAAATTGCGCTCCCTGCAAGTTGCTCTGCGCAAGCTGCTCTGTGCAAGTTGCTGCGCAAGTTGCTCTGCGTAAGTTGCTCTGCGCAAGTTGCTCTAGGCAAGGCGCTCTGCGCAAACTGGTCGGCGCAAGTTGGTCTGCGCAAGTTGCTCTGTGCAACTTGCTCTGCGCAAGTTGCTCTGCGCAAGTTGCTTTAAAATGCAAGTTGCATCTTGCGACGCCCGCCCGCGGACCCGCGACCCGCCGGTTCCGGGAGCAGGCGCGCGAACCACGAGACAACTCCCGAGGACCAGTTCGAACAACAAAATTCGCAAAAACCTCGAGTTTTTGCACCTCCACCACGCCGATTCCCGCAGAGGGTTGCGAGCACCGTAGAAATCGCAAAAAAAAACTCTAGTTTTTGCACCTCGGGCACTTGACTCCTTGCAATTGCAACTTGCACTTGACTCCATGCACTTGCAACTTGCACTTGACTCCATGCACTTGCAACTTGCACTTGACTCCATGCACTTGGCTCCTTGCACTTGGCTCCTTGCACTTGCAAATCTCCTTGCAATGACTCCTTGCTATGACTCCTTGCAATGACTCCTTGCAATGACTCCTTGCAATGACTCCTTGCAATGACTCCTTGCAATGACTCCTTGCAATGACTCCTTGCAATGACTCCTTGCAATGACTCCTTGCAATGACTCCTTGCAATGACTCCTTGCAATGACTCCTTGCCATGACTCCTTGCAATGACTCCTTGCCATGACTCCTTGCAATGACTCCCTGCAATGACTCCTTGCAATGACTCCTTGCACTGACTCCTTGCCATGACTCCTTGCCATAACTCCTTGCAACGACTCCTTGCCATGACTCCTTGCCATGACTCCAGACGCTGAAGAAGGACCTGGCCACAAGGGCGGGCAGTGGAGCGACCACTTCGAGCGGGCGGCCGGGGCCTACAACGCACGGCCGCACGAGACGGCGCACGGCGCACCCGAGGACGTGGAGAAGCAGCCGGCCACCGAGCCGGCTGCTGCAGGACAACGCCGACAAGTTCCAGCACAACAAGGACCTCACGGGCCGGCGCATGAAGGCCGTGGAGCTTCAACCCCCAGTACGGCGACGCGCAGCAGCTGCGCTCCATGACCGTCCGCAGCATGGAGGGCCGGGAGCCCTGCTGAAGCTGGCGCTGCCGGCGCCGCAGGGCAGCGGCAACGCAGCGGGAGACGGGGCAGGCCGGCGGCTGTGAGGCAGCTGGGTCCGAGGCCCAGGACCCTCGACTAGCCTTCTTAGAAAAATACTAAATTTTTTGGGCACGCTCAGGCCTCCTTGTTCTAGAGGAATTTTGGGACCCTTTTTTGGTGCAAAAACCGTTTGATCAGGCTCCGTCGGAATTGACGGACCTGCTGACGGACCTGCTCAAGCCTTGGTGCTCGGGAAACCAACGGGTTGGGCGAACCAGTATCAAACCAGTGGGGCTGGCATGGGCAAACCGTGCAAAACCGTTCAAATGCTATTAGTCTAGTCTCTAGATTGATATGGGTAGTAAACTAATTGCACTTTGCAGCGCAACCGCGCAAAACCGTGCAAAAGCTATTCTTCTAGGGTGTATATTTATACGGCCTAGAAGAATAGCATTTTGTAGCCCAAAACCTGTGCAAAACCGTGCAAAAGAAGGGACTGCCCGGAGTCTTTTTTTTCCTGTCAGGCTGCCGCGCGTGTGAGGCCTGGCGAAGAAGCGCGACTCCGGGGGCGAGCAGGCGCAGTGCCGGGCAGGCACCGTAGGAGTGCCGAACAGGCACAGCGCCGAGCAGGCACTGTGGGCTAGGCAGTGCCGAGCGGGCACAGCGCCGAGCAGGCACAGGCTGAGCAGGCACAGCGCCGAGCAGGCACAGCGCCGAGCAGGCGCAAAGACAGCTGGGACAGGCCTGAGACACCTGAAACACCTGAGACACCCACTAAACCATGCAGGTGTGTCTCACCTGTCTCAATCTTCAATTGGCTGCCTTGTCATTGCTGAGACAGGTCTGAGACACGTTTGAGACACTCCTGTTTGTGTTTTAGTGGGTGTCTCAGGTGTCTCAAATGTCTCAGCTGTCCCAACCCTCGGCTGGCTGGGCGTGTCTCTGCGTCTGTCACCAGACCCGTTGGGCGAAGTACTTCCAGACCCACTGGGCGAACTACTGAAAAAAATCTGAAACCCCTCCAGACCCGTTGGGCGAACTACTGAAAAAAATGAAACCCCTCCAGACGTGTTGGGCAGACCAGTACTTGAAAAAATCGTAACCCCTCCAAACCCGTTGGGCCAACTACTGAAAAAAAATTGAAACCCCTCCAGACCCGTTGGGCGAACTACTGAAAAAAATCTGAAAACCCGTTGGGCAGACCAGTACTTGAAAAAAAAACCGCTCCGGGCGTAGACGAAGTCCCAAACCGTGCCTCCCTCGTAGGCGAAGGCCTGAGAGAAGTCCGCGCCCGCCCCGTCCACGCAGCGTTTTAGGTTTCGAATCCGGGTGGAGGCCCGGGGTAGGTAACGAGCTGTGGCAGGAAAAGGCCCCTGGTCGGAAACGGCCTTGCGCAAGAAAAGGCTCTTGCACGGAAACATCCTTCAAAACACAAAACTGTCTTCCGGTAGGAAGCTCCTTTAAGTGGGGAAAAGCATTTGGTTGGAAACGGCTCTGGGCAGGAAGCGGCCTTTGGTGTGGGAAACGGCCTTTAGCGGGAAATGGCATGGACAAGCACCCTTGGCGTGACATCCTCAACACACACAACAATTTGGGCGTGCCATCCACCAAACAAACTTCACCTCACCATCCCAAATCGCCAACTCGCTGCATTTTTTCGCGCATCCAAAGCTAATGTCGCTGCGGTAAGAGCTCGCAGCACATGATTGGCAAATGTCCCAATCACATTTGCCGCAACGCCATGTGGCAGACTGCACATGCTGCAAGCACTTGTCACACACAATGCGGTCTGTGGTGGCCATTGCCACCCGGCAGATGGCTGGCTTGGAGCGGTCCTCCAACAAGCTCTCGAACTCCTTCTTCGCATCCGTAGGATCTCGAGTTTCCGTCGGGGGAGGGCACGCGATGAATGAAGAGCACCTTTTCTGCCACTCTTCAATCTTAGAAAGCAAATTCCGCCAGGGCTCCACGCTAGAAGCAGAGCAACC